GATGGCTGCCAGGTCTCAGCCTCGCTATTCATGTTGTAGAGATGGTGATTGATGCAGGGCTTGATGCAGCAGTGGTAGGCTCCTCCCAGATTGTGATGGTGACTGGGCTGCTTATGGCTCTCTGGGGTTCACTCTTCATTTCCACCACCAATTAAACTCATCCTCTTTTTCATATGCTGTGGCAGCCATGCAGGTGCACTGCTTAAATGTCTCTCTAAGAAAGAATTCCAGTTTCAGGGAATGCAGTTAGCTGACAACGTGCAGTTGTTAGTACCTTCAGGGCCTTTGGGTTTGGGGTTGAGAACTTGAATTTCCTGGGAAATCCACAGCCAGTGATAGAGCATGGCATGGGTAATAGGACATATCCATTTTGGCTCAGTGCAGGACTCCTCTAATGGGCAGTCTTGCTCTGAAGCACCCTACAGGGTTGACCAAGACTTTGTTAGATCTGCATCAAGGTCTGAGACTTTCTCTGCTCAGTCCTGCTTCATAGCCACTTCCTTCCTAGGTTTCAAATCTGTGTCATGGTCTGAAAGTTTTCAATTTTTTTTTTTTTAAATTTTAATCTTTTTTTTTTTTGAAGCAGAGTCTTGCTCCGTCACCCAGGCTGAGGGCAGTGGAGCGATCTTGGTTCACTGCAACCTCTACCTCCTGGGTTTAAGCCGTTCTCCTGCCTCAGCCTCCTGAGTAGCTGGGATTACAGGTGCCCACCACCACACCCAGATAATTTTTGTATTTTTAGTAGAGACTGGATTTCACCATGTTGACCAGGCTGGTGTCGAACCCCTGACCTCAAGTGATCTGCCGACCTCAAGTGATCTGCCCACCTCAACCTCCCAAAGTGTTGGGATTACAGGCCTGAACCACCTGGCCTGGTCTGAAAGTTTTCTGTGCCCAGTCCTCTTTCCTCCCCACTTTTATCTTGAGCAATAAACCTCTTGTACTTCCAACTCTCTCATCTGCTTCTCAGAGGACTCTAAATGACACATATCGCTTCCACTGGTTGTTTACCTAATTTATCTCTAAAACTGAAGTAAGGATTATCTAATTTCCCTTTTTTAACTCCCTTTTGACTCCTCCCAGTATTTTTTTAGGTCATCAATTTCACCCACCCCCAGCACCTGCATCTCCTCTAATACCCATCTATATTAGTAAAAGGCACCACTGTTTACTTAGTTGCATTTACATTTTTCACATTTAAGTTTGTGACCCATCTTTTGGGGAAGCCGGGGGAATGGAGTTGGTATTGTGAGAGATGGGAATCAGACAGTTTAAAAGGAGTGACTTTAGTAAGGCATGAATGAGGTCACAGGTAATGCGGGTCAGATCATGTGGGACTTTGTTATGTCATTAATTGGCCATTGAAAGGACTTTAGCTTCTTTTTTTTTTTGAGACGGAGTCTCGCTCTGCCGCCCAGGCTGGAGTGCAGTGACTGGATCTCAGCTCACTGCAAGCTCCGCCTCCCGGGTTCACGCCATTCTCCTGCCTCAGCCTCCCGAGTAGCTGGGACTACAGGCGCCCGCCATCTCGCCCGGCTAGTTTTTCATATTTTTCAGTAGAGACGGGGTTTCACCGTGTTAGCCAGGATGGTCTCGATCTCCTGACCTCGCGATCCGCCCGTCTCGGCCTCCCAAACTGCTGGGATTACAGGCTTGAGCCACCGCGCCCGGCCGAAAGGACTTTAGCTTCTACTCTGTGTGAGATGGGGGATGGGGAGTCATTGGAAGGTTTTGAGCAAAGGAGTAGTATCTCACTTACTTTTTACCAGGGACATTTTGGCTGCTCTGGAGAATAGACAGAGGGCAGATAAGTTGGAAGCAGGAAGACTAGTTGGGAGAGTATCACAGTAATCTAAGTACAAGGCATTGGTAGCTTGCACCAAGGTGATAACAGTGAAGTTGTTAAGAATTGGCTCATTATCTGGGGGCAAGACTCAAGCAATGTCATTTTATTTTGTAAAAGCTCCCTAGGAGTTTCTGGTACACATGAGGGTTGAGAATTTGTGCTACCGTTTATACATTTTTATAGGAATGCCTGGACTTAAGACATATAGACATCTTCATCAGCTTAATTGAAGTGGGTAGAGAAGCATAGTGATTAATAGCAAGTACTTTTATATCTGACCCAGGTTTAGATCCGTGCTACTTATTCACTGTAACTTTGAGCTTTATTTTTTCATCTTTAAATGCAGATACCTACTTTGTAGGTATATTTGTTATGATTAAATGAACGAATGTGAATTAAATGAGCTAGTATCTGACATATTCATGCTTAAAAAGTAGTAGCTTAAAGAAATTTGACGCATGAAATGATAAAAATTTTAGGATTGATGATGCTCAGTGTTGTTGAGGATGTGGAGGAATAGGTCCCACTGTTGGTGAGAATGTATACAAAGGGCAGTTTAGGAATATCTATCAAAATTTCAATTTTCGCGACCCACTAATTCTCCTTTTGAAATTTTATTTGTGGAAACATTCACACCTATGTTCAGACATTCAGTGCAGCATCTTAGAATAGCAAACAGTTAGAAATAATACTCCTAATAAAGGAATAAATTGGATGTATTCATTTATGGAATGCTTTGTGGTTATGAAAAATAATAGGTAGATCCATACATACTGTCATGGAAAGATCACTAGTATGTATTTTAGTTTTTTGTTTTTTTTGTTTTTTTTTGAAAGCAACACCAGTGTATCATTTGAGAGTACTTAACATCCTCACTATTTGAAATCTATAAGATTATGTTCATTTATCACTTAGATGGATTTTTATATGAGCTCATATAAAAGGTAGGCCAAAGGCCAGGCATGGTGGCTCATGCCTGTAGTCCCAGCACTTGTGGAGGCCAAGGTGGGCAGATCGCTTGAGACCAGGAGTTTGAGATCAGCCTGGCCAACATGGAGAAACCCTGTCCTCTACTAAAAATACAAAATTTAGCCAGGGCCAGGTGTGGTGGCTCACGCCTGTAATCCCAGCACTTTGGGAGGCCGAGGAGGGTGGATTACTTGAGGTCAGGAGTTCGAGACTAGCCTGGCCAATGTGGTAAAACCCCATCTCTACTAAAAATACAAAAATTAGCCTGGTGTGGTGGCATGTGCCTGTAATCCCAGCTACTTGGGAGACTGAGGCAGGAGAATTGCTTGAACCCCAGAGGCGGAGGTTGTCATGAGCTGAGATTGCTCTACTGCACTCCAGCATGGGTGACAGAGCAAGACTCTGTCTCAAAAAAAAAAAAAAAGAAAAAGAAAAAAACCAGGCATGATGGTGCACACCTATAATCCCAGCTGCTATTTGGGAGGCTGAGGCATGAGAATTGCTTGAGACTCTGTCTCAAAAAAAAGGAAAAAAAGAAAAAAGAAAAGGTAGGTTGTGCACAGTGACTCACGCCTGTAATCCCAGCACTTTGGCAGACCAAGGCAGGTGGATTCCCTGAGCCCAGGAGTTTGAGACCAGCCTGAGCAACATAGCAAGACCCTGTCTCTGTTAAAAATGAGATAAAATAGAAAAGAAAAGAAAAGGCAGTGATGTCATAAACAATAATACTTATAATATTATAATATTATAATACTTATCAAATTATTATAGTGCCCATGTTTTAACAGTATTGAATGCCTTATAATAACATTGTTTGTTTTCTGTACTATATATCTGTTTTTAGATATTTAAAGAGCTATAAATTATCTTAAGGTAAATTATAGATGCCCTCAAGGATTTCTGTTAGGAAATATTGAAGATGCAGATATATTGCATAGTTTCTGTCTCTATTTGACTAATAACCAAATGGATAGGTAAGATGAAAACAGATGAAATAAATTTTTTAAAAAGTATTTTATATAAGTATATATTCTGTTAATATGCTTCTAGGAATTTGTCCTAGGCAAATAATCCGACAAGTACATAATGACAAATATGCAATAGTATTCATTGCAGTGTTTATAATAATAATAAATTGCACATAACCTAAGTGATAAGTATTAATTTATGATAATGAAATATTATGTAATAATTAAAAATAATTATTTAGATCTATAGTTACTAACAGATAAAACCTACAATCTACTAAAAAGGGAAAATAAGTTTAATATATTATATATAATATCTTCTCTCTACAGATTATAAGACTAGAGTAGTCAGGGAAAGTAAAGAATAGAATAGATTTGGATAGATAACATGTAGAAGAGGACATTTTAAATGAGCACTTCCCAACCTTTTTGGACTCACATTTCTTAATTTGAAAATTTTATCAATTTGCATTGTACATGGTAAAATGGTTTTTAAGTAAAAAGTATTTTATGTCAGTATAATACTTAAAACTGCTTTCTGAGCCAGGCGCAGTAGCTCATGCCTGTAATCCCATCCCTTTGGGAGCCCGAGGTGGGTGGATCACTTGAGGCCAGGATTTCGATACCAGCCTGTGCGATATGGTGAAACCCTGTCTCTACTAAAGATACAAAAATTAGCTGAGCATGGTGGCGTATGGCTGTAATCTCAGCTACTTGGGAGGCTGAGGCACAAGAATCACTTGAATCCAGGAGGCGGAGGTTGCAGTGAGCCAAGATTGCATCTGCACTATAGCTTGGGTAACAGAGCGAGACTGTCTCAGGAAAAAAATTTTTTTTTGCTTTGTAAATTTTTGTTCTTTGTTGTATAGAATCATTTTTGGCTCATAGTAAGGAAACTTTCTAATGTTTAGAACTGTTTAACAGTTTAAGATTTCAGGCATTGTATGTCACTGTGTGACCATTTATCATATATGCTGAAAATAAACTTTAGGTCTTATCTAATTTACTGATTTATTGGACTTGACAAGTAGCAAATTGATTTACAGCCCCATGGACAAAGTTTATTCCCTGCGCCTGAGGGTCTGTGGAAATCTCTCATAAAGAAAAGTAGTGTCATTTTTTTTTTTTAATTTCCAAGTTATAAAATTTTATTTCACAGTGTTTAGGAATGCCATAATTTGTGGCATTTTAAAGGTGTATACTTTATTTCCACGTAGGCCGAATACATCAAGCAATGGTAACATCTTTAAATGAAGATAATGAAAGTGTAACTGTTGAATGGATAGAAAATGGAGATACAAAAGGCAAAGAGGTAAGATCACTGGGTTAAATTTTATTCCTAGTCCTGCAATCAAGATTCTGAATGTAAAACCAGAAAGTACATAATGCATATATTTTTATTATTCCTTTAAAACTTTGAAATGATTAAAAATTTTCACTTAAAGGTATATTCCTCCTGTATCTCTTATGTGATTGCACATGTCAATCTTAATTATTTGATAAAAATATACTATTCTTTAAGTCTAGCTCACACAGTTTGAAAATGTGCTATAATATTTAATTATGTGGTTCTATTGGTCACTGTGTTGTTAGCAATTCATAGAGTCAATGAATTTGAAAATGATATTTTGAGAGAAATTCTTTAAATTTGGGGATTATAATTCTAAATCATTTGTAAGGCTAAGGGATTGTATTCTTTTTGTTTGTTTGTTTTTGAGACAGGGTCTCACTTTGTCACCCAGGCTGGAGTGCAGTGGCATGATCACAGCTTACTGCAGCCTTGACCTCCTGGGCTCAAGTGACCCTCCAACCTGTCTCCAGAGTAGCTGGGACTACAGGTGTATACCACCACACCTGGCTAATTTTTGTATTTTTTGTAGAGATGGGGTTTCACCCATGTTGCCCAGGCTGGTCTCAGACCCCTAGGCTCAAGTGATCTGCCCACCTTGACCTCCCAAAGTGCTAAGATTACAGGCATGAGCCACTGCACGCAGCTGAGGTACTGTATTCATTAGGCTATAGTAATTTAAGAGTTATTTACTGTGTCAATTTATTTGAAAAATAAAAGGTTAATTGTCAGAATATATTGTCAAAAGACTATGTGTGTGTGTTGTGAACAGATTGACCTGGAGAGCATCTTTTCACTTAACCCTGACCTTGTTCCTGATGAAGAAATTGAACCCAGTCCAGAAACACCTCCACCTCCAGCATCTTCAACCAAAGTAAACAAAATTGTAAAGGTTAGTGATGAAACTTCAGAGTGCAGGACATTGGGAGTGGGGGTGGTGGGGGGGTGTAGATGTGTATGTATTCTAGTTTGAAATTGGTAGGCTTTGAAGAGTTTAAGAATTGATTAATTTGCTTTTTCTGCCATCCATATTCATGTACATACATACATATTTTCAAGGATTAAGGTTGTCTAATTCACAATTATGACAATCACTGGATAAGGTCTTAGAAATTTCTCACCTAATTAGGATTTTTCCTGAGACTAAGTTTCTCAGGAGATATACATCAAAACCATTTGCTTGGTGTTTGTTAAATGAATACATATGACTTTGACAAAGGCATAATAGCTATTAGGAATAATAACTACCAACTCTGATAGTCTTTTGAAATTATAATTCTGCTATTTGTTTCTTAGAGAAAGATGGGAAATGATACTGTAGTTCACTTCTATATTGTCTGTCATGATATACCTTAAAACTGTGCTAAATCCTCCCTGGCAGTTTTATCTTTATAAAAATTAAAAGCACATTATTCTTACGGCTTTTAAAGATAATTCTCCTTCCTTTCTCTCAAGATCTTTCAGTATTAAATTTTTGTTTCAAAATACAACTCTTTTTAAAACAGGTAGTATTGCAAAGTTGTTGAATCTGCAGTTCTTTGTATTCATTTCAACAAGCATTTGTGGTTGTGTTTTTTTGTTTTTTTACACTGTGCCAAATACTATGCTGGACAAAATACAAAGATGAGTGATGATATGGCTTTCAGCCTGTAGGAACTTGATATCTTTCAGGGAGGACATAGATAAGCATCTAAATATAGTATGATAGAAGCAACAAAACCTTGTTTTGTAAACTATGCAGATGAACATAAGGCATATTTTCAACTCATGAGTTTAATCATATTGAGAGTCACCACTTAGAGGTTATTTGCTACCACTTACAAATGGGTTGTTTTTTATATTCATCTTCAAAATAAAGGATCTTCACTGGAGGATCTTTATAGTTTATTCTTCCTGGTATATCATTAACAACCTTTACTGTACATTAGAATTACCTGGAATAGAATAAATCAGTATATTTTAAAAATAAATATTTACTATTAATGCTATCAATATTCAAGTTCCTTTATATATTTTCCTCTATCCTCCAAAAATATTCAGGAATTAATATGAGCCAGGCACTGATCTAAGGACTTTCTTCACAACGACCTATGAGGTCATTACTACTGCTTTTCCTGTTTCATTGATGAGAAAACTGAAACAAAGAGCGGTTAAGTAGCTTCACAATAATATGTGTTTTAATCATCATACTATGCTGCTAAAACCATGTAATAAATGTCATTTCTGAATAAGAGGGGGTAAAAAAATAAATATTTATTTTTATAAGTATTAAAAAGTATTTTTAAAGTATTAAAATAAATCAATATTTTTTAAAATACTGATTTATGGGCCCCACTCCCAGAGATTCAGTTTTATTTTACCTAAAGGGAGACACTGGCATCAGTGTCCTTTTAATAGTACTCATCTGATTTGAATGTGTAGCCAAGGTTAAAACAACTATGTTATTTGATATCTTTTTTGAGGTGAATAAAAGGAAGCCTTCATGAATAAATTAGAGGACCAAAAGTTTGCTGCCTTAATCTGTACAGTGTCCAAGTCTTAGAAACTCTTATGAAACCTTTTTAGGATAACTTACAATGTACATTTTATAGTATTCTGATATTTCAGTTTAACAAGGGGTTCTAAGCTGTCTAGAACTAATATTTTATGAATTACCCCCTCTTATTCAGAAATGACATTTATTACATGGTTTTAGCTGCGTAGTATGATGATTAAAACACATATTATTGTGAAGCTACTTAACCTTTCTTTGTTTCAGTTTCCCCATCGATGAAATGGGACTAGCAGTAGTAATGACCTCATAGGTTGTTGTGAAGAAAGTCCTTAGATCAGTGCCTGGCTCATATTAATTCCTGAATATTTCTGGAGGGTAGGGGAAAATATATAAAGGAACTTGAATATTGATAGCATTAATAGTAATTCATTAAGATTATAGTTTTTCTTCATTTTGTTTTAGATTCTTACATATCTGCCTACTTTTGTTTAATTGAAAGCAACTCAGATCATGATACATATGAGGAAAATATAATGAGCATTTTTTCCTTTCATAGAATCGACGGACTGTGGCTTCCATTAAGAATGACCCTCCTCCAAGAGATAATAGAGGTAAAGTAAAATTTTATCTCTTAATTTTGGCTTTTGGCTTCTTAGTATGTTCCTGACGAGGTAAATCAAAAGTAAACATTACCCTTGATGTTGGTATTTATGTAAATTTTACCTGGTTAATTTTAAGAGGGTTTTTTTTTTTTTTTTGGCAGGGGGGTGTTTGTTTGTTTTGTTTTGTTTTTTGAGCAGGGTCTTGCTCTCTCACCCAGTCTGGAGTACAGTGGCATGAACACAGCTCACTATAGCCTTGACCTCCCAGGGTCAAATGATCCTCTTACCTCAGCCTCACATGTAGCTGGGACCACAAGCGTGTGCCACCATGCCCAACTAATTTTTTTGATTTTTTTGTAGAGATAGCCTTTCCATGTTGCCTAGGCTGGTCTTGAACTCCTGGGCTGAAGTGATCCTCCTGACTTGGCCTCCCAAAGTGTTGGAATTACAGGCGTGAGCCACCGTGCCCAGCCTGGTGTCTCCTTGATTTCCTAATATAATATACCAATACTACTAAAAAATGATTTTGTCCGGGTGTGATGGCTCAGGCCTGTAATTCCCACACTTTGGGAGGCTGAAGCGGGTGGATCACCTGAGGTCAGTAGTTCGAGATCCCCCTGGGCCAACATGGTGAAACCCCGTCTCTACTGAAAATACAAAAAATTAGCCAGGCGTGGTGGCGGTGCCTGTAATCCTAGCTACTCGTGAGGCTGAGACAGGAGAATTGCTTGAACCCGAGTGGCAGAGGTTGCAGTAAGCCGAGATCACACAACTGCACTCCAGCCTGGGCGACAGAGCGAGATTCCATCTCCAAAAAAAGAAAAATGATTTTTAAAATGTATGGGATGATGGCTGGGCACGGTGGCTCCTCCCTGAAATCCCAACACTTTGAGAGGCCGAGGCAGGTGGATAACCTGAGGTCAGGAGCTCAAGACCAGCCTGGCCAACATGGTGAAACTCCGTCTATAATAAAATACAAAAACTAGCCAAGTGTGGTGGCATATACCTGTAATCTCAGCTACTCAGGAGGCTGAGGCAGGAGGATCACTTGAACCCAGGAGGTGGAGGTTGCAATGAGCCAAGATTGTATCACTGCACTCCAGCCTGGGCAGTGGAGTGAGACCCTGTCTCAATAAATAAATAAATAAATAAATAAATAAATAAATAAATATAAAATGGATGGGATGAATATGAAACTATGAAATGCAATTTTTAATTCATCTTATTTACTAAATAATTTTGCAAATTCGAGAAGAATATCATGAGAAAGAAAGGAATGGGGAAAGAGTCAATTAGTTGGCTGATTTCACTAGCTGAAGAAAAGTTGAACACACATAAAAATTGTGTGGTTAACTGAAGTCTCCCATATATTTTCAGCCAGGACATGAAAAGCATAGTGAATTTATTTTCTGCTGTTTAGTGGTTCAGAATTGTCTTTTCTGGCAGTATTCTTTCTCTGTGTGTGTGGATGGTAGACCAGGATGGACAGAAGTATTAAAATGAGAGGCTGAAAGTAGAGGGACAGTCCTTCATTTAAACCCTATCTTTTGAGTCTTATGTAAATTTATATTTCTTGTAAAATTTGATATTTATATTTAATTTTATATTCTTTTTTCTACTTGTATAGTATCCACATTGAGAAATTCTCTGCTGAAGATTTGCATATTTGAGGAGCAAAGAGTGGGATTTGGAATATAGGGAGGGTTGAAGAATTCTAAGTTTTTACTCTCTGTATATATTTGATTAGTGTAAATTTTAAAAAATGAGAATACATGTAAAATTTATATTTTGCTGGGAGTGGTGGTTCACGCCTTTAATCCCATCACATTGGGAGGCCGACGTGGGTAGATCACCTGAGGTCAAGAGTTTGAGGCCAGCCTGACGAATATGGTGAATCCCCGTCTCTACTAAAATTACAAAAATGAACCGGGCCTAGTGGCGTGCGCCTGTAGTTCCAGCTACTCGGGAGGCTGAGGCAGGAGAATCACTTGAACCCGGGAGGTGGAGGTTGCAGTGAACCGAGATTGCACCACTGCACTCCAACCAGGGTGACAGAGCGAGACTCCATCTCAAAAAAAAATTTATATTTTGCACACATATTTTAGGAGGATTTCTTTGCAGTTTAAAGTTTTAAGACATGGAGCGGTTTATATATACATATATATGTATATTTTGTTTTCTTCACATATATATTTTAAAGGATTATTAAAAATCAAGCTTGGCTTTGGTTTTTATGTAAATTATTTAGATTGAATTTTGTAGCTAAAATTACATTGGTGAAAGCTAGGTCTGCACATATTACTTTGAAAGCCTCTTAGCTTATGTCAGTTTATTGAACAGAATTATAAACTATATTATATTTTACATATATAAATAGAAAACTTGGCAACTTACTAATGTAACTTTTAAGGATCAGGTTTTTGGGGATATCTCTTCCTTTTACTAAGGTTATTTTTACTAATTTTCTATCCTGAATTAAATTTTTTTTTTCTTACAGTGGTTGGTTCAGCACGTGCACGGCCCAGTCAATTTCCTGAACAGTCTTCCTCTGCACAACAGAATGGTAGTGTTTCAGATATATCTCCAGTTCAAGCTGCAAAAAAGGAATTTGGACCCCCTTGTATGTAAATTATGTATCAAGGATTTAGTCATTTTAGGCATACATGTATTCTCTCTTGGTCATCCTTTTTAAATCCTCAAAGAGTCAACAGTCTAAATACAAGCTTGATTGCAGATTTCATTTTACCACTGTGGAAAATTTAACTTCTTTTTATTAGTTTAGTCTGTTAATTGGGTTTTTTAAAGTATATTTTGGAGCAAAAATTTTTTTGTGAAATTATAGCAATGTTTCAGTTTGAGTTTAAAATTCTGGTCAGATGATAATTTGTCAGATGTTACAGAAGAAAGTCTTGTGCTCCTTGATTCTTTGAATTCAAAAATGTATGTTTCTAAACCAAGAGATGACATGTATCAATATGTTTGAGTCATTTTTCTGGACTCTCATCTGTACATTGTCCTATTTTAGTTTTGGTAAAGCAGTTCATTAAGTAAAGCTCACATAGTTGTTATAGGCATGCTTTGTCACTGTGTACCTTTTGTGTGTGTGTGGTGAAGTTATACATAAAAAAATATAATATTAGTACTCTAAAAAAGAAAACTATACTTCTACAGCTCATGTTGTCTTTTCAGCACGTAGAAAATCTAATTGTGTGAAAGAAGTAGAAAAACTGCAAGAAAAACGAGAAAAAAGGAGATTGCAACAGCAAGAACTTAGAGAAAAAAGAGCCCAGGTTCGTAACATAAACATATATTTTGTTTATATACTAACCAGCGATTAGATTGTATCAGTGAAGGTAATTGATGTGACAAAAATAAGGCATTTTTTTGGAGAATTTTGAGAATTCCTTAAATTGATATTGAGGAATAATATAAACTCATGTGAAAATAAGTTACCATAACACGTTTTTACTGTATTGTTCTTTTCATGTTTTATGGGTATGTGTTAACGCTAAAATTTGTTCCGTTAAGAAAAAGCCATTGTGTTACAGAATTCTAATGTGTATAGCATTACATTTAAGAATTTTTATTTTATTTTATTTATTTATTTTTTTTTTTTGAGACGGAGTCTCGCTCTGTCGCCCAGGCTGGGGTGCAGTGGCCGGATCTCAGCTCACTGCAAGCTCCGCCTCCCGGGTTCACGCCATTCTCCTGCCTCAGCCTCCCGAGTAGCTGGGACTACAGGTGCCCGCCACCTCGCCCGGCTAGTTTTTTGTATTTTTTAGTAGAGACGGGGTTTCACCATGTTAGCCAGGATGGTCTCGATCTCCTGACCTCGTGATCTGCCCGTCTCGGCCTCCCAAAGTGCTGGGATTACAGGCATGAGCCACCGCGCCCGGCCAGAATTTTTATTTTAGAAAGACCTAAAAATACATTGGGAAAAATATCTAGTTAAAGTGCATGATTAAACTATAAATTTTATTACTGTTTTTGTATGGTTAATAAGTTTACATGTCTTAGTGAAACAGGGGAAATTCCTTGTGTTTTGATTTATGCCACATATGAAGAGTGGATCTATCTCTATTATGTCCCCCTCGGGGTCCCTTCAGATGGTAGCAAGACTGCTTAATAGCAGTGGGAAAATTGCACAGAGAACTGGTCTTTTGCCCTTCTACAGGTCTTTACATGTTAGACATTTTGTTATTATACATATAACTCCACCATTGTGCTTGTATGGCATCTATTACATTCTCAGAACTACTCTTCTCTAATAAAACATCAGGATTATTTATTTACTAGTATGTTCAAATGCCCTTAATCATGTGAAACTACCAGTTCAGATGTTGTGTTGTAGAATTGTGGACCTAGTATTATATCCAACCTGAATGGATCAGCTTTTATCTGAAAGTGACCTGAGAATGACCAATTGGGTTTTGAAATAAATAATAAAACAGATTATCTACTAATACTTAGCATAGATGCCACCTGGTGTTTCCTGTGGGTACTTCATAATACTTACACATCTCTCTGTGATCTCTTAATTCTCACTTCACAGTCTGCTTCTCAGTTGACATAGGTGGTATTATTTCCTAGAAGAAGGTTAATTTAAAGTAAGTTTCAGTAACAGTTTGTAATTTAGTTGCATTCAAAAAAAAATCTGAATATGATGTATAAAAAATGTGACTTCTTAGAATGATTAATAATTTATTGTTTAAGGCTAGGAGAGGCTGTTGATTATTGCTATTTGTATCTTAATCTGAATTTTCTGTTTTGAAGCCAAATAAATTGTAGTTGGCATTCAAAAATTTGAATTTTAAAGATTTTTAAAAAATGATCTTGGCTTCTGATTCCTTTAGTTCTATGTTCTGTCGATTTGGGGGCAGTTTTGTTATTACTTAGTATTTTTTAGAGGGTCAGCAAATATAGAAAATGAAGACAAATGAATCTGTATTTATACTTTGCTGAAACACTGGATTAAATTAGAAGATAAATCTGCTTAAATGAATTTTCCTAGAATTTCAGCTTTTCTAGAGTTATTTGCCAGTGGTTAACATGAGCATTATTTCTCTGTTGCTCCATTTTATAGAATAATTAAGGTATATGTATAACAGGTGGATTTTTGAAATAGGTAAATGGTAACTTCAATGAAGAGTCTTTAATTTGGAGTTAACAGAATGCATACAGACTAAGAGAACTGTGTTTGTAATATGAAAGTGGTTCAGAGCTGATTATGAAACCACAACTGTGAAACTATATCATATCATCAGTTGGAGTTTAGGCTTGGTTATGACAAATGGCACAATTTAATTTTCAAGCCAAATATAAATGCAAAAAATACATTATTATATTTATAATGGTGAATTCTCTCTGTCTTCTAATAGGACGTTGATGCTACGAACCCAAATTATGAAATTATGTGTATGATCAGAGACTTTAGAGGAAGTTTGGATTATAGACCATTAACAACAGCAGATCCTGTAAGATTCTTTGCAAACCATTATTCTGGAACTTTTTATGCTTCAAATAAAAACATGTATTTGACACTTGCTAAATTCATACTGTATTCAGCTATGTAGTTTTTCCTTTCCTTATGGGTGCTCATTCACCATATTTTAAGAAAAGTAATTATCCACATTAATGCTCGTTTTCCATAATTTAGTATATGAGATATGCTGCCTATAGCGATGTCCTTCTCAAAGCAAAACCTCCCTGTCTTTGGAAGGGCAGAGCAACACTTAAAGGAGTGATAGCAGAAGACTCACTTTCCTTTCTGGCTATGAATTATACTTTGATCTCAGTTCCAAGTTTATCTTTGTCTTGGGCTATAGATCCCACCATCATTTCTAATTTACTGTTGGTAATTTGTTAGTTTTAAATGTTACTCTGGCTTTTAACGATAAGTGATGGTTGTTGAGGGCTGCAGTGGACCAGAAATCTAGAACTGGAAAAAAATCCTCTGCTCTTATTACTCCACTCCCTTGCTGTTGATGAATGAGAATTCATTGGACAGGGAATGCTTTTTTTTTTTTTTTTTTGAGACGGAGTCTTGCTCTGTTGCCCAGGCTGGAGTGCAATGGTGTGCAATGGTGTGATCTCCGCCTGCCGGTTCAAGCGATTCTCCTGTCTCACCCTCCCGAGTAGCTGGGACTACAGGCATCTGCCACCACACCCAGCTAATTTTTGTATTTTTAGTAAAAACGGGGTTTCACCCTTTTGGTCAGGCTGGTCTCAAACTCCTGACCTCAAATGATCCACCCGCCTTCGCCTCCCAAAGTGCTGGGATTACAGGCGTGAGCCACAGCTCCCAGCCAGGAATGCTTTTATAACTAATTGGTACTTATAAAAAATAATCTATCTGACATAGCATATACAGAATGTGTTAGTTACAAAAAAGACATTTGTGTTAGATAGATGTATTATATAGAATTGTTGATAGTACTTGTATCCCACATATTTTAGGCCTTGCTATTCCTTCATGTATTTCACTTACTACACGGGAGCTCACCCTTTAGGACAGGAATTGGCAAACGTTTTCTGCAAGGGTCTTTGGCTTTGGAACTATATGGTCTTTGTCACAATTACTGAACTCTGCCATTGTATTGTAAAAGCAACCATACACAATACATAAATGATGGGTATGACATTTGTTTCAATCAATGTGTGTCAGTAAAACTTTGCAGAAGAAGTAGGTAGTAGCTAAATTAGGCCCACAGGCCATAGTGTACCAATCCTTGATTTATGTTAATTATTATTAAAATGAGGCATGTATTGGGAACAAAAATTTTATAAAAAAATACTTAGGCATAAGAACTGGCATATTTATAAAATAGTTCAAATGATTTGGCTCAGTAATCATCTGAGAATCCTGTTTCTTGCCAGTAATTATCTTTGCTAGCAGCTTTCCCTATGATCAACCTATATGTCACTTAGTAGAATAGAAATGTTTACTTTTGTTGTGTATAGCACATCTTGAAGTGGATAATACAGCTTTTTTTTTTTTTTTTTTTTTTTTTGGAGACAGAGTCTTCTCTGTTGCCCAGGCTGGAGTATAATGGCAGGATCTTGGCTCACTGCAATCTCTCCACTTCCCGAGTTCAGGCAGTTCTCATACCTCATGCCTCATCCCTCATGCCTCATGCCTCAGCCACCCGAGTAGCTGGAATTACAGGCGTGCACCACCATGCCCAGCTAGTTTTTGTATTTTTAGTAGAGACAGAGTTTTACCATGTTGGCCAGGCTGGTCTTGAACTCCTGACCTCACCTGCCTCGGCCTCCCAAAGTGCTGGGATTACCCACTGCGCCTGGCATCACAGCTTTTTTTTTTTTGGTCCTGAGATGGAGTCTCACTGTCGCCCAGGCTGGTGGGCAGCGGCATAATCTCGGCCCACTGCAACCTCCGCCTCCCAGGTTCAAGTGATTCTCCCACCTCAGCCTCCCGAGTAGCTGGGACTACAGGCATGCACCACCACTCCCGGCTAATTTTTGTATTTTTAGTAGAGACGGGATTTCTCCGTGTTGGCCAGGCTGGTCTCAAACTCCTGACCTCAGGTGATCTGCCCACCTCAGCCTCCCAAAGTGCTGGGATTATAGGAATGAGCCACCACATGGCCTCCTCATAGTTTCTTAATGTGAACTTAATGCTACTAACAACAGTAGTACCCTCTACAAAATTGTTTCCTAAGGTGATGGTTTTCCAAATAACAAAATAAACAAGTTTCCATTACACTCAGAATTCTAGAAGTAATTATATCTGGCAACCATTAAAATTTGTACAAAGCTAATTTATTTTTTAAGCTTACCTATCATTTATGCTATGTATACATTTCTAAAACCCCTGGAGGAAATACTACATAATTGACGTTCAGTGTTTTACATGACAGTGATAATCACTGAAATAAAATACTTTTTATTTCTAGATTGATGAACATAGGATATGTGTGTGTGTAAGAAAACGACCACTCAATAAAAAAGGTATGGCACTTAATGAGCTCTAATAAAAGATTGATTTTATCTTATTTGTAATGTATTTTTATAATAGCAAATCAAATTGGTTTGGAAAAATGTAAATCATTTCCTTTGATTTGTATGTAACCATTATGCAGATTTCTATGGCTAAACTTGTCAGTTTGTTATTGCTCTGAATCATTGCCATTTTGAGTCTTGCTTCACAGAAATCTTGATTTTGTTTTTACTTTGCTGTTGAAATATTTTGTCTTAGTGAGTTGCATATTTATGGGATATTATCTTTATATGTACAGAACTTCCTACATGTATCTTAATTCTTACTACTTAAAATAATTTTTGTATATGAACTCAAATGCTGTGAAGATTATTGGGCATTGATTTTCATTTATTCTTTTAGAAACACAAATGAAAGATCTTGATGTAATCACAATTCCGAGTAAAGATGTTGTGATGGTACATGAACCAAAACAAAAAGTAGATTTAACAAGATACCTAGAAAACCAAACATTTCGTTTTGATTATGCCTTTGATGACTCAGCTCCTAATGAAATGGTTTACAGGTAGGTAAATTCATTTTAAATCAGAATTTTGTTCTTACGCCATGTGGTCATCAACACCTTGAAATTTACATTAATTGTGGGATATTTCTTTTTTTTTTTTTTTTTTTTTTTTTTTTTTTTTTGAGGCGGAGTCTTCACTCTGTCGCCCAGGCTGGAGTGCAGTGGCACCATCTCGGCTCACTGCAAGCTCCGCCTCCCAGGTTCGCGCCATTCTCCTGCCTCAGCCTCCCGAGTAGCTGGGACTACAGGCGCCTGCCACCGCGCCCGGCTAATTTTTTGTATTTTAGTAGAGACGGGGTTTCACCGTGTTAGCCAGGATGGTCTCGATCTCCTGACCTCGTGATCCGCCCGCCTCGGCCTCCCAAAGTGCTGGGATTACAGGCGTGAGCCACCGCGCCCGGCCTATTGTGGGATATTTCTTAAGAGGTGCAATATGCTGTTTTATTCTGAGTTTAAACAAAGAAAATGTAATAAATGCTGTAATGAATATTAACACTTGTTCTCTGTAATGCTCCCTGAAATCACAGTTTCCATTGCTACTTGCTAAATAGCTTATTACACATATATATACATATGTAAGTATCGAACAAACCGTGTATATGGATAAGAAATTTCTGGAAAATGTTAACATAACCTCTAGTAATAGGATATGATGAGGAGAACTTTTAATTTTTACCTTTTAATCTCTGTACTAATAAAGAAACTTGAAATATTTGTTTGAGGCATGGTCTTGCTCTGTTGCCCAGACTGGAGCGCAGTGGCACGATCACAGCTCACTGCAGCCTTGACCTCCCAGGCTCAGGTGATCTTCCCATCTCAGCCTTCTAAGTAGCTGGGACCACAGGCATGCACCACCACACCCAGCTAATTTTTGTACTTTTTGTGGAGTTGAGGTTTCATATGTTGCCCAGGCTAACCTCAGACTTCTGAGCTCAAGTGATCTGCCCGCCTTTGCCTCCCAAAATGCTGGGATTACAGGCGTGAGCCACTGTTATGCCTGGCCAAAATACCTGTTATCAGTAAATTATTAATTTATCTAAATCTGTGTTTATTATGTATCGTCACTTAAGGCGAAAAAGTTCCGTACTTGCATTTAAATTTGTCATCTTTAAGCTTGGAGATAGTTTTAGTACATGAGATTCTTATATGTTTTCTGTATTCAACTTATAAATAATTCAAATTTACCTGTATTATACATTGGTATCTCAAATTTTTATGCCAGATTTAGATTTTCATACATAAGTTTGCAAACATTTCTAATAATTACAACATCAGTTTTAGCAGTATTGTTATTTTGGTTTATCTAGGAATATAACTGTCTTTGTAATTGCTTGAATGCTATACCTGGTTGCCTTTTTTCATAAAAATGCCTAGAAAGGAGAAAATTAGAGTTAATGAGACTAAGAATTGAAGGTGTTACAAAGGAAATAGTTTTGAGACCAACTCCTTTTGTCTTCACCAAGTGTACTGGGTAGTCAGTTGTTAAAAAAAAAAAAAGGATCAAATTAAAGAACATATGAATACTACATAGAAATATTTGTGGAGAATGTATTTAAAGGGGAATCATAATTGTTAATTGTAGAATTTTTTTTAGCTTTCTGAAGAGTCCACTCTTCCTTTTCATTCCCTCTTTCTACTCCTGCCTCATAAAATATAAGTTTGACTTTTATAATAGTTTTTAAAAAATTATTACAAATACAGGCATGTTTCTGGGTGTATGATTTAGTTTTTATGATTTTGTTTTTACCCTGTATTTATGTTTCTTAACTTTATCAATATTTATCCTTCTCCTCTATCTCTTATACTTAACTATTACAGATTGAGGAGTTACATGTTTTTTTTGTGGGGAGGTTTGGGAGGGCGGGGTTGATCTAACTACTTAGCAGGCTCATCCCTAGTTCTTTTTGATCAGAACTTTTTCCTGCTCTTTTTGTTCTGTACTTTCTTCAGTTTTGCCTTTTACAAAACAAAGACAGCAGTTATATAAAATGTTCTACTTGTAGATCTGTTTTCCATCTTTTTTTTTTTTTTCTTTTTGAGAAGGAGTTTCGCGCTTGTTGCCCAGGCTGGAGTGCAGTGGCGCGATCTCGGCTCATTGCAAGCTCCGCTTCCCCGGTTCAAGCCATTCTCCTGCCTCAGCCTCATGAGTAGCTGGGATTACAGACGTGTGCCACCATGCTCGGCTGATTTTGTATTTTTAGTAGGGACAGGGTTTTACCATATTGGTCAGGCCGGTCTCAAACTCTTGACTTCAAGTGATCCACCCACCTCAGTCTCCCAAAGTGTTGGGATTAGAGGCATGAGCCACTATGCCTGGCCTCCATCGTAACTTTTTAGTTTACTGTTCAGGAAAAAAGTACTTCTTATACCTTCCCACCTTTTAATTTTAACTCTAGCAGTGGGTTATACCAATACGTTTGAAATATAATTCAAGGCCAGGCATGGTGGCTCACGCCTGTAATCCCAGCACTTTGGGAGGCCAAGGCAGGTGGATCGCCTGAGGTCAGGAGTTTGAGACCAGCCTGGCCAACATGGTGAAACCCCATCTCTACTAAAAATACAAAAATTAGCTGGGCGTGGTGGCAGGTGCCTGTAATCCCAGCTACTCAGAGACTGAGGCAGGAGAATTGCTTGAACTCGGGAGGCGGAGGTTCCAGTGAGCTGAGATTGCGCCATTTGCACTCCAGCCTGGGGGACAAGACTGAGACTTCAAAAAAAGAAAAAAAGAAATATAATTCAAACCATAATATTTAGGTATCATTTTCCAAAATTGAGGCTGTCAACTTATTAATAGAATTCAATGTCCTATAAGCACAATTTATATTCTTTTTCCTTAAGTATAAATTACTTGTCTAAATTCAAGGTAGTCATCATTTTTCTATTTATTTAGATGGTCTAAAGATAATATTTTTGCAGTTTTTTTCCTCTGTTAACTTTTTAAAATTGAGATTACCACTCTTGTTTATTCTGTTTTTGTTGAAATTATAATACTTTTTGTTTTTATTGTATATGCCTTATTGTGACCATTGTTTATTATGGAAATATTGCTTGAAATTATGCTTTAAGTAGCTTTAAGTAATTTTAGCATATGATATTTAAAATTCTTAAATCAATTCTTTGATATTGTTATTTAAAATTTTTAACAAAGATTTGTTTAGAATCTTGCTGTTAAGTTTTGTTTATTAATAAAATACTTTGTATTACTCAGCATTACTTTTATTCATCAAAATATTGGTGACACATTCTGACTGATGCATTTTATTTTTAAGGTTTACTGCTAGACCACTAGTGGAAACTATATTTGAAAGAGGAATGGCTACATGCTTTGCTTATGGGCAGACTGGAAGTGGAAAAACTCATGTAAGTGATTTATTAAAGTTACATTCTGGTATGAAGCTACAGTTTCTTTTCCTTATAGCTTAATTCCGAGACCTAAATTCTTAAGAGTTATTCCTGAGTAATGTCTGTTCTTTATTTTCTTTTTAAAATATAGACTATGGGTGGTGACTTTTCAGGAAAGAACCAAGATTGTTCTAAAGGAATTTATGCATTAGCAGGTAACTGTCCTTTTTCCATATAATTTGGAATATTCTTCTTAGGTATTATTCAGGTAACTTTGAAATAAGGCTTTAAAATATTGTTCAGCAACTATAATGCTATATTGACTGTCTATTATGTCAATTATAGGTTATTAGATTGCTTGAAAAGAACTGTAAGATTATATATTCACAAGATTTTTTTTTTTTTTTTAAGAAGAAAAGAACTGTAGGCTGGGCGTGGTGGTTCACGCCTATAATCCGTGCACTTTGGGAGGCCAAGGTGGGTGGATCACTTGAGGTCAGGAGTTCAAGACCAGCCTGGCCAACATGGTGAAACCCCATCTCTACTAAAAATACGAAAAAAAAACTTAGCCAGGTGTGGTGGCAGGCACCTGTAATCCCAGCTACTTGGGAGGCTGAGACAGAAGAATCGTTTGAACCCAGGAAGCAGAGGTTGCAGTGAGCCGAGACCATGCCACTGCATTCCAGCCTGGGCAACAGAGCAAGACCCCATCTCAAAAACAAACAGACAAACAAAACTGTAAGATTGACTTTGAGGGGGCAGAAATCTTGATTATATTTGTCAGCGTATTCTAGCACATTGTTGGAGATTAGTCTCAATTGTTGAATTTCTGAACTGTAAAAAGCTAGCTATGGTATGAGAATAACTTCATTATGACCACCTGTAATTTTATGCTATTTATAAATATAAATACTAATATATATAAATAAAAGTAGCACCCTTTTATGCAATATGAAAGAGAATAGCTTCTATTAATACTATTTTTTGTAAAATCAATATTCACTTTATTTCTCATTTTTATTATTGATACTATTATCCTAGGTAAAGATTAACTGATTTCTCTAGAAATAGACAATTTGAGTTGCTTTTTAAAAATATTTATTGCATCTCAATTTTCTGTATATGAAATTCTTGACAGCTCGAGATGTCTTTTTAATGCTAAAGAAGCCAAACTATAAGAAGCTAGAACTTCAAGTATATGCAACCTTCTTTGAAATTTATAGTGGAAAGGTAAGTGGGAACTTTTTTAATTTTAATTTTTTTAAATATATATATATATATATATATATATATATATATATAACATAACATTTGCCATTTTAACCATTTTTAAGTTCAGTGGCATTAAATATATTCACATTGTTGTGCAGCCTTGACCACCATAATTTATGTGTATTTAGAACTTTTATGTTAGAATTTATGAGTTTTTTTTAAAATGTCCTTTGAAACTTTTCAACTTCAATGTTGAGAATTCTTATTCTAATTATTATTTTAATCTCTGAAATAATTCTTAAACTCTGGGTGACTTATTTTTATAGAACTGATATTTTAATTGCCACAGGATCTCGCTCTGTCACCCATGCTGGAGTGCAGTGGCATGATCACAGCTCACTGTAGCTTCAATCTCGTGAGCTTCCTGCCTCAGCTTTCCTAGTAGCTGCGACTATAGGCATGCACCACCATGCCCAGCTAATTTTTTTTGTTTTTAGCAGAGACAGCGTCTCACTATGTTGCCCAGGCTGGTTTTGAACTCCTGAGCTCAAGCTATCCTCCTGCCTCAGCCTCCCAAAATGCTGGGATTGCAGGCGTGAGCCACTGTGCCTAGCCTCTTTTTTACTTTAAAGCTAGTTTTCTAATTTGAATATGGTTTTTCATAGGTGTTTGACTTGCTAAATAGGAAAACAAAATTAAGAGTTCTAGAAGATGGAAAACAGCAGGTTCAAGTGGTGGGATTACAGGAACGGGAGGTCAAATGTGTTGAAGATGTACTGAAACTCATTGACATAGGCAACAGTTGCAGGTAAATTTCATTTTGATTAAGAAAGGAAACTTCAGTTTTAGAAACTTTGGGTATAGCATAACAAAACGAGGATGTTATCTGTCAATACATCTTGGAAGTAAAAATCATTGTTCATAAAAACTTGTGTTACATGTAAGTGTGAGTGACAATTATTATATTGATACTATATTACAAATATATTAGAAATATGCCAGATTAAATTGTATGAATCTGGTTCTATGTAAGTGTTACAACTCAGTGTCTTATCTGTATTTAAAAGATGAAAACTAGCTAAATTGGTGTTTGTTGCTGCTGTTGTTTTTAATGAAAATAATGTGGTTTGAACATGTTAATTGAAGTTTTTATGTATCAAGATGTCCCTAATCATATTACAGAACATCCGGTCAAACATCTGCAAATGCACATTCATCTCGGAGCCATGCAGTGTTTCAGATTATTCTTAGAAGGAAAGGAAAACTACATGGCAAATTTTCTCTCATTGATTTGGCTGGAAATGAAAGAGGAGCTGATACTTCCAGTGCGGACAGGCAAACTAGGCTTGAAGGTGCTGAAATTAATAAAAGCCTTTTAGCACTCAAGGTAAATAAAATATATTTTATCATGAAAGGTCTTTTGCTTTTAACTTTAATTTTCTTTACTCAGTTGCAAAATAATAGTACTTATTTTACCTAATAAAAACAGAGGTTTTTGAAATTCAGATGCTTATAATTTATAATGTGATTTTATTATACCCAGAATTTTTCCTTGCACACATTCTTTATTCTTTTTAGATGGGATAAAGGATATGTGAGAGGGTAGGTCAGTTCTGGGGCAACATAGGTAGACTCCAGAGGGTCTTTATTTTTCTTGAGACTGAGTCTTGCTCTGTCGCCCAGACTGGAGTACTCTCAGTATAGTCTCAGGTGCAATCTCAGCTCACTGCAACTTCCACCTCCTGGGTTCAAGCCATTCTCCTACTTCAACCTCCCCAGCAGCTGGGATTACAGGCACGTACCACCACGCCCAGCTAATATTTGTATTTTTAGTAGATAGGGGTTTCACCATGTTGGCTAGGCTGGTCTCGAACTTCTGACGTCGTGATCTACCTTCCAAAGTGCTTGAATTACAGGCACGAGCCACTGTGCCCAGCCCAGAGGGTCTTAATCAGCCATATTTTCTAGGAGGAGGGCAATGAACCACTGAATTGAGCTAAGAAATAGTTTCTCAGAAAAATGTGGAATGGCTTTCAAAATGTTAGGCCAGGTTATTACATATTTTCCTTGAGTAGAAAAGCAAAGCTGGGAAGGCTATAATAAGACTGTGTTTTTTTCTTTTGGAGTGCCATGTTAAGAAATTAACTTTTTACAGTTATCCTACTGCCTGTCACTTTCAAACACTAGTCATAGTTTCCAGAAATATCTCTTGGAAGAATAAAGTAGGTTTTTTTGTTGTCATTTTTTATTTTCTTGAATTAGCATTTGTGGAAACATCTACACCATGCTTTAAAACTGTTGGCCAGGCACAGTGGCTCACACCTGTAATCCCAGGACTTTGGGAGGCTGAGGCAGGTGGATCCCCTGAGGTTAGGAGTTCGATAACCAGCCTGGCCAACATGGTGAAACCCCATCTCTACTAAAAATACAAAGCTTAGCCAGGCGTGCTGGCGGGCACCTGTAATCCCAGCTACTTGGGAGCCTGGGGTAGGAGAATTGCCTGAAGCCCGGAGGCAAAGGTTGTAGTGAGCCAAGATTGCGCCACCACACTCCAGCCTGGGTGACAGAGCGAGACTTTGTCTCAAAAAAAATAAATAAATAAAACTGTTAGTAGAATTTTCACAGCTGATCAGACCTTAAATGTTGAAGTTGTAGTAAGAGACCTTTTAACATATGTTAATTAAGATTACCCTTTATAAGAAAGACTAATCTGTGAGACTTATTTTCTTAATTTTCAGGAGTGCATCAGAGCCTTAGGTAGAAATAAACCTCATACTCCTTTCCGTGCAAGTAAACTCACTCAGGTGTTAAGAGATTCTTTCATAGGTGAAAACTCTCGTACCTGCATGGTAAGTTTATTTTTTGTTTGTTTTATTTTAATCCTGAAGGAATAACTACACAATATTTATGGAAAATGTATTAGTTAGTGACAATCATTTGAAACCTTCTATTATGAGTGATATGGTGATATTTAAGATGTGGTCCCTCCCACTCTGATAGAGAGGATTATATTGCAGTTATATAATTTCAGCATCTAGGTGTTCTCGAGGGCTGGTCTTTCTTGATTTTTTTCCTTTTTCTTTTTCTCTTTCTCTTTCTCTCTCTCTCTTTCATTTTGAGTATAGGTCACACTTTTCTTTATGGTCATATGTCTGGTAATTTGGGGTTATATCATGTGTATTATGAATGAACGTAGAGACTGGATTCTGTTATATTCTTCTGAAGGTTATTGGTTTTTTGTTTAGCAGAAATTTAAACTTACTCCAAACTCTTATCTCCCCTGGGCAACAACTGTAATTGAAAGCTTTGTTTAGTCCTTTCAGATTTAGCTGTGTTGCCTATAGTTTGCCTTGTGTATGTCTAGGTCAGGAATCAGCTAGGGGTTTGGGCAGTTTATATATAAAAGTTTGTCCCAGAAGGGAGAGTACCACACTCTCTGTAGCACTTTCCCTTCTGGGACAAAGTTTACTTTTCCAGCTGCTATGAAGTGCACTCCCAAACTATATCCTTTAATTTCTTAACCAGAGAGACTGCAGGTTTTCAGTTAAGTTTTAGTTGCCCTGTGTGACAGCAGCAGAGCTTGCCCTCTGTTAAAAAGCTGTTTAAAAAAAAAAAGTTGGGTGGAGTGGGGATCAGTCAGTACTATTCCTTCCAGGTGTTAACCTCCTCCATTTCTGCTGGATTTTGATTGTTTTCTGGTGCCTTCATAGTTTGTATTTAACTAGACTTTATCTGATTATAGATATGATAATATAATCTTGGAGTTGAGATAACATTAATAAGTCTTTATTTTTAAATAATCATGGTAAGATTAGACCTAAATGAGCTGCATGTCGGTATTATTGTCTTGATCATTTATGACATTTTCTTTACCTCTGCATTTTTTTTTTCCTGTAGATTGCCACAATCTCTCCAGGAATGGCATCCTGTGAAAATACTCTTAATACGTTAAGATATGCAAATAGGTATGAGAGATAGTTCTCCATTTTGAAATTTGAGGGGAGTAGAGCAGTATGCAGTATAATTTAATATCTGATAGGGTAAATCTTACTACATTATTCTTTCAATTTTCAAAAAAAAATGTTTTGCATATTATTCCTTAAGATGATATGTAGAATCATTTTGTCAAATTCTAAAAATCAGTGGAAATGGGTAATTTGGGAAGGGATTAATCACTTTAGTAAAATTGGTCTTTTTATCGTAGAACAAGGTTTCCATTTCACTGTTTTATTTCCTAATATTTTACTGCATTTAAATCATGCAAATTCTTCTTATTACAATAAGACTCTGAAGTAAATCAATGTCAGGGACTAGTTTGTATTTCTTAAATTGTTTTGGTATATGGTCCAGATTATTCCTGATAATATTAAATGCTATATATGGGGAATCTAGGATTTGAGGAAGAAGTGATAGCAGAGTTCTTTCTGGTGTTCCTTTTTTTTTTTTTTTTTTTATGTAATTTATTTTTTTGAGACAGAGTCTTGTTCTGTCACTCAGGCTGGAGTGCAGTGGTGTGATCTCAGCTCACTGCAACCTCCACTTCCTGGGTTCAAGCGATTTTCCTGCCTCAGTCTCCTGGGTATGTGGGACCACAGGCGTGTGCCACCATACCCGGCTAATTTTTATATTTTTAGTAGAGGCTCCGTTTCACTATGTTGGCTAGGCTGGTCTTGAACTCCTGACCTCAGGTGATCCACCCACCTCGGCCACCCAAAGTGCTAGGATTACAGCCGTGAGCCACCCCGCCTGGCCCTTTCTGGTGTTCTATGTGGGTTACATTTTTGTTATTCATATTAATAGTCTTAAAAACGTTATAAATATTATAACTGGGTTATTACAGATAGAAGGACAGAATGCATTATAGACTACTAAAGCAGTTTATTCTATATAGTCATGAAATGCCTTTGGAACTTTGAATTATAACGGGCATATTTATATATGATCCATAGATTTTTTCCCCACTTCTCTTGAGTGACTTTATTTACCACTGATCTTATTTTGAATGACTGTTTAATGTTAAATTTCTCTTCTCATATGTTAAATTTGTGATTTTAACCTAGAGACAAAATTCCTCTTTGTAATCCATTTCTAGTATAGCAGTTCTCTTAATTCTAGTATAACAGTTCTCTTAATTTTGCTGGACAGAAGTATCTGTCCTATTTCTTTGTTTTAATCACTATGGAAATGTTATTTTAAAATTTTTTATTAAAATGTAAAATACTTATGCATATAGAAAAGCACCTAAAGTATAAGTGAATAATTAAATGGATAATGGATATTTATAAAGTGAAAACTCCTGTCATTGGTTTGGGAAATAGAGCATTATTGGCCCCCCAAAAGGTTCCCCATGTGCTCCTTCCTGTTCACAAATCCTGAATAACATGCCTTATTCATTTATCTCTACCCCGATGTAACCCATGTATTAACTTCTGTGGAATACTTTACTTGTTTTTTTTGTCCTCTTTATAAAAATAATTTTACTACCTATGAATGTTATCTCTCGGTAACATAGGTAGCTGTATTTGAACATTACACAAATGGTATTATAACCCCCCAGATTTTTTTGCATCTTGTTTCTAAAGAGATTTTTTTAATGGTAGTAAACACTGTTGGACAGTATAAACCTATTGAGCTTTTGTAAAAAGGTATTAAAATATAATCACTTCTTTAAAAATGTAATAGGGCCAGGTGTGGTGGCTTATACCTTTAATCCCAGTGCTTTTGGTGGCCCAGGTGGGTGGATTGCTTGAGCCCAGAAATTCAAGACCAGCCTGGGCAACATAGCAAAACCCCATCTCTATAAAAAATACAAAAATTAGCCTGGTGTAGTGGCTTGCATCTGTAGTCCCAGGCACTTGGGGGGCTGAGGTGAGAGGATTGCTTGAACCTGGAATGTTGAATCTACAGTGAGTTGTGATCACACCACTGTACTCTAGCCTGGGCAACAGAGCAAGACCTTGTCTTAAAAAAGAAAAAAGTAATAGAACTACATTTCTAAGTATGAACTATTGTATTTTCTAAATTTAATCCCTTTTAAAGTTTGAATTATGAGCTCGTAGCTTATTGTGTTAGTTTTAATTGATCTTTGTAATTAACATTTTTGATATGTGGGATTTTTATCATTAATTTAAAATGTTTCTTATTTCAGAATAATTCTTGAGAAAGATGAGGAACAGCCTAGTGTAGTAGATTCTTGCCATGTTATAGAATTAAAACAAACAAAACCCCTCTGTTTCTTAAGATTTGAGACGACAAAAGATTGCTCCCTAATATTGTGAAAATGCTGTATCTAGCTGTTCCTCTAGTTCGCTTAGGTCAAAGTAAAATGTTTTAACCTACTGTTATATCATGTAACTCACTTGCAACATGACTAACCATTTGGGACACTATATTAATCCGTTCTCACACTGCTACAAAGGAATACCTGAGACTGGGGAATTTACGAAGGTTTATTTGTCAGCATGGACACAGAGGCCTCAGGAAACTTACAGTCATGGTGGAAGGGGAAGGGGAAGCAAGGCACCTTCACAAGGTAGCAGGAAGGAGAAGCGCCAAGCAAACTTGGGAAGAGCCTCCTATAAAACCATTAGATCTTACGAGAACTCACTATCACGAGAACAGCATGGAGGAAGTTGCCCCCATGATTCAATTACCTCCACCTGGTCTCTCCCTTGACACTTGGAAATAATAATTCAAGATGAGATTTGAGTGGGGACACAGGGCCTAACCATATCAGACACATAATTTTTTCAATTTTATTTCCAAATCTCTAGGAATAAAGATTTTCAACCTTCCTTGATATTCATACCAATGTTTTATGACCTTAAGAGTCAATATTTTTTTTAACAGCCAAAAATAATTAATTCCTCCTTTATGCTAAATCTGCCTTATTTTATTTAGGCCAATACTTTGAAGTGGTGGGTAGATGGCATTACATTAAAATTTTCATATTTTTAGGCAACTATTTCTCTCTTAACTGTTTAAACTTTTTTGTATTTAAGATATAGCTTAGTGATTGAAGTGTTATTTCTCAGGACAAAATAGGTTTAATAACTTCCTTACTACTTAATGGTACCAAAGCCTCAGGAAAGTTACTTAACCTCTCTCTGCCCTTATTTCCTCATCTTTAGAATGGACAGTTAATGACCGTGTCCATCTTAAAGGATTGTTTTTGAGGAGTAAAAGAAGTGATCTGTGTAAAATGTTTAGCACAGTACCTGAAATAATAGGAATAATTATTCCTGTTGCTACTTTAGTGAACAGTTCTGTCTTAAAAATTCAGTTAGATGTGAAAGCAATGTTTTTTCATATCCTTATATTAGAATCATATACTTTGAAAATTTTATGTGGGAATTGTGGGATAGTCTGTAACAGTACACATTGCTGCTAAGTGATTAAGTTGACAAGTCCAGTTCATCAGATGACAATTAGAGATACTTTATTTATTTATTTAAGATGGAGTCTTGCTATGTCACCCAGGCTGGAGTACAGTGGCACAGTCTCAGCTCACGGCAGCCTCTGACTCTTGGGTTCAAGCGATTCTCCTGCCTCAGCCTTCCAAGTAGCTGGGATTACAGGTGCCCGTCACCACGCCCAGCTAATTTTTTTGTATTTTTTAGTAGAGATGGAGTTTCACCATGTTGGCCAGGCTGGTCTCGAACTCCTGACCATAAGTGATCTGCCCACCTCAGCCTCTGCAAGTGCTGGGATTACAGCATAAGCCACTGCACCCAGCGAGACAATTAGAGATATTTTAGAGGGGAGTACAGGGGAAAACTTTCAGAGTGGAAGGAATGGTTGTACCAAGGGAAAAAAAATTATAGGATATGTGAAAAACAGACAGTGGCCTCTATCCTGAAGCAGAGATACTTAATCTTTGCGTAATGGAAGAGGTTAGAGTGATTAGAGTGATTAGGAGTTTTTAGTAACATTGAAGAATATGATTCTTGTAGGTAGTATAGTTTGGCTTGGGCAAGAGAGCTTTGGATAGAGGAAAAAATGTGTGGATGAAGCTAATAGTGTGTCTAAATTAAAAGATTTAGATAAGAAATGGGGTGGGAGTGAAAATAATTGTTAATATTAGAAATTTAGATTTTTCAGGCCAGATGCCGTAGCTCATGCTTTTAATCCTAGTACTTTGGGAGGCCAAGGCAGGAGGATCACTTGAGTCCAGGAGTTTGAGACCAGCCTGAGCAACCTAATGAGACCACATCTCTACAAAAAAATAAAAAATTAGCTGGGGGTGGTGGCACGCCACTGGTAGTCCCAGCTGAGATGGGAGGATCACTTGAGTCAAGGCTGCAGTGACCCATGATTGAGCCACTGCAGTACAGCCTGGGTGATATGGTGAGACCTTATCTCAAAAAGAAAAAAAAAAGATATTTACATTTTTCAGCATGTGTGGTAAATAAACTTTCAAGGATAAAGGGCAGATGAATCCAATATTGAACCTTTGACAGTAGATATTACCAATAGATCAAAGAAAGACTGTTAGTAGAGGAAATATGTTAGTTTGATTTATATGAAGATATTGATACTTGTTTTTGACCTATAAAGAAGGGAATTTCATTTAGTTCAACCTAAGAGAAATGACAAGAAAATCAGAGAATATGATTATTATATTGAAGTGTTTAAATAACATAGGCTTTGTACTCAGGGCTAGGTTTTAACCTCAGTTATGCCACATTCTCAGTGAGTGACCTTAGAGAAGATACTTTATTTCTGAGTCATTTTTCTCATCTATAAAATCAAAGATGGTTGAAGGACTAAATAATATAATGCCTAACAATGACTAATCCTGATACCTGACATGTAGGAGGTACTTAAATATTTTATATTGATATGAAATAGAGTTGGCCCAAAGGAGACATAAGGAATTACATAGATGGGGTGAGAAAAATCATAATTTGGTTAAATGTAACTTGAAGATGTTAACAAAAACAATTTAAATTTCATTGCTAAAGGCTGTTCTCAACCAGAGTTCTTCATCTGAATCACCAACCACTGAAAATAGAGTGAATATTTTCTCAGTTATACTAAGGACATTTCACAGCTAATACCATTCTGGATGCATAGGAAAGAAGTTAATTCATTACAAACAATGGATGCCTTAAGGCATTAGTACTTAATTCCCTTGTGTCCAGTTTGAAAAAGAGGCAAAAACGTTGAAGAGCCATGAATGCTAATAAACAAATAGTCATGGTACTGACTACATGAAGAAATTAGATTGAGTGGTCATGTAGTTAGAGGGGCATTTCAGATTTAAGTGATTTAGTTAAACTTCTAGGAAGGATTACGAGAAAAGAGGAAAATACACCAGAAAGGAAAGACCTAGGACTATAGAGCAGGGGATCGATAGAACAAAGATGTTCAAACACCTCTTAAAATTTGTTATTTGTAAAATAATATTCTAAATACATTGTCACAACTATCAATATCCTTTTCTAAACAAAAGTGAATACTAAATGAAAATGTGCAATGTGCATTGCTGTCTTTCAAGAGCATTTTCTTTTAATTTGTTGCTGTTTTGGTGCTGCAGAGTAAAGGAGTTTGGAATTAGTCCATCAGACATTCCCTTCTCACAGGGTAGTGGCAGTCGCCCTGATCTCTCTCCTTCTTATGAATATGACGACTTTTCTCCTTCAGTTACCAGGTCTACTTCATTCTATACATAAGATGTTTATTTTTATAGTTTCTTTTGAATTGTGCTTTGTATAAACATTTCATTTGCTATGTTTGTCCTGAGCCATTTTAGTTTTCATTTTCATTTCATTTGGCAGGTGGTGGTTGTACTGCATGATCTGCATTCTTATGTCTTTTATTAATTTGTTTCCTTTAAAATGTTGATTTAGAATTCAGGCTTCCTATTTCCCCCTCATATTTTTAAGGATGATGTCACTTTTGCATACTTACCATTAAAAGGTAAATTGTTAAAAGATAAATTATCTTGCTTAAAATGAAGAGATTGCCTTTATGCTGTATGATCTTATGAGTTTCCTTGTCTGCAAGGAGCCTCTTGACATAGAAAGTTTACCCTCTTTTGGCTGGGCGTGGTGGGTTACACCTGTACTCCCAGAACTTGGGGAGGCAGAGGTTGGTGGATCACCTGAGGTTGAGAATTCTAGACCAACCTGGCCACTGTGGTGAAAAACAAAAAGTGTTTTTTTTTTAAAGTAAAGAAAGCTTACCCTCTCCCAAATGTGTAAGTTTAAATATAATGAGTAAACTCTTTTCAAATGATAAAACTTAAAACCTTATAATCTTTATACATTATAAATAAAATTATTTTACATGTAGCTATTTTAATTGAGCATGATAACTACCAGAAATCTGCATGGTTTTTTTTGTTTTGTTTCAGCAGTGATCCAGTTACTGGTCTAACTGTTATTGTTTACATTTTTCGGTTCATATAATTTAATTGCAATAACATTCACTCTGATGAACCAGTAGTAAAAAAAATTGAAAATTAAAAAAAAATTTTTAAATTGCAACTTTTTTTCTTTGAATACTGAATCTACATACTTTGTTAATTCTCATTTAGTTTGCACAATAATTATATTTGATATAATATAATATGAATTATATAAAGTTATCTAAGTAGATTTCCTAAAATTAAACAACCATTTATGTGTTTCTATAGATTTCAGATAAATTTTACCTATAAAGGTGACATCATCAATCTTAGTATGTTAACTGAATTGCTTGTATATTGAATAGGTTGGTATTTTCTTGTTCCTCTGCATGAGTGTTTTTAACTTTAGATACCTCTTATATATTTATAGGGTCAAAGAATTGACTGTAGATCCAACTGCTGCTGGTGATGTTCGTCCAATAATGCACCATCCACCAAACCAGATTGATGACTTAGAGACACAGTGGGGTGTGGGGAGTTCCCCTCAGAGAGATGATCTAAAACTTCTTTGTGAACAAAATGTGAGTGACTTACTATAGTTGTAAGTGATATAATCTTAGTTCATCAGTAGCAGAACTTAACTGAAAACTATCATTTAGGGGGGTCAGGCTGTGGGTGTGGTTGCTCAAGCCTGTAATCCCACCAATTTAGGAGGCTGAGTGGGAGGGCTGCTTTAGGCCAGAAGTGCAAGACCAGCCTAGACAATTTAATGAGACCTTTTGCTATAAAAAATTTAATAATCATCCAGGTGTGGTGGTATCCACCTGTAGGTCTAGCTACTAGGCAGGCTGAGGCAGGAGGATTGCTTAAGTACAGGAATTCTGGGCTGCAGTGGGCTGTTGTAGCATCACTGCACTCTAGCCTAGGTGACAGAGCGAGACCTTGTCTCTTAAAATAAATGAATAAATAAGTCAGGGGTCAGCAAACTACAGCCTGTGGGCCAGCCATCTGTTTTTACAAATAAAGTTTTATTGGAACATTCTCTTTAGGGTTGTCTAGCTGCTTTCTTACCGTAACAGCAGTAACAGAGACTGTGTGGTTCATAAACCCAACATGTATTATCTGGCCCTTTAAGGAAGTATCCAACCCCCAATCTAAACTATTCATTTTTTTCCCTCAGATTGTTGTCTGATATTATAATTTGGGAAAAAATTAAAGTAATATAGGGAAAAACAACTTTAAAAATTATACATATAATAAATATTAAAAAGCTCGAAAACAGGCTGGGCGCGGTGTCTCACACCTGTAATCCCAGCACTTTGGGAGGCTGAGGTGGGCAGATCACTTAAGGTCAGGAGTTCAAGACCAGCCTGGCCAACATGGTAAAACCTGTCTCTACTAACAATACAAAAATTAGCTAACAATAAAAAAATTAGCCAAGTGTGGTGGCTCATGCCTGTAGTAGTCCCAGCTACTCAGGACGTTGAGGGATGAGAATCGCTTGAAACTGGGAGGCAGAGGCTGCAGTGAGCTGAGATCCCACCATTGCACTCCAGTCTGGGCGTCAAGAGTGAGACTCCATCTCAAAAAAAATTGAAAAAAGCCTAAAAACAAAAGAACTGTAGACATATGCGTCTACATTGAAAGGATGCATGCACTATATTAAAATCAAACAGCAAAATACTAACATTTGTCAAATCTGGTTGCTTTTCTATACGATTAAAATTTTTAATGATATTTTGTAATTTAATTTTTTTTTGTAATTTCCCAATTACAAAAAACAATACATGCCCATTGTATAAGGATAGAAAGAGATAAAGAAATAAGAAACATATATAATACACTTTCACATAATTGCTTTTAATGTATTGAGAGGGTTCTTTTCTGTGTGTGAGATGTAAAGGTGTGTTTTTAAAATGCATATTCTGTATAGTTATATTCTGTATAGTTTTGTGTCATTCTATTCCCACTAAGTCTTATGGCATTTTCTCATCATGTTAAAAGTTAGCATTGATTAGTAGCTTTTACTACATGATATATATTGCTAAGCATTTTATTATCTGATCTCATTATCATAACTCAGTGTAGTAGGTACTATAATTATCCCTACTTTATAACTGATATTCTAAGGTTTAAATAATTTGACCAAGATTTTACAAGTAGTAAGTACAGAAGCCAGGATTGAAATTTAGATCTTTCTTATGCCAATGCCAAACCTTGTACCAATTAAACTGATTGCTACCTGCAATACAGTGTTCTTCGAAAACAACATTAGTTAGTTCTAATACTTTGTAGCAGATACTTAGCCCAAAATATTCTAGAGTAACAAATACATGCACTACTTTTTGTTACCATGTTCCAAATCACGATTACTAAAGCAGGGCTTAAAGCAGTGGTTCTTAACTAGGAGCAGTTTGGCCCCCAAAGCAAAATGTATGGACATTTTGGTTGTCACAACTGAGGTGATGCCGCTAGCATGTAATGGGTAGAGCCAGGAATGCTGCTGAACATGATACAGTGCACCGGAGTGTCCCCCTCACCTTATCCCCACACAATGTCAGTAGTTCCAAGACTGGGAAAACCTGGTTCAAAGTAAGAGTTTTAAACTTTGAACCTAGAAACTAAAAATGAGATCCTGGCCTCAGTCCATCATTTGTGTCCAGAATTTTTAAGAGAGACTGTAATTGCTTTTAGACTCTTTAAAGCAAACCCTGCACTGCATCTAAATATGTTACCTCCCAAAGATGTGGAAAACCAGAGCAAGATAAGTACTCCCCATAGCATATCTTTCCATTTTATTCTTGCATCTATTGGGCCTCTGTAGAGCCTGAATTTGGAGAGGTTAGTTAGGTGACCAGACTAATCCAGGAGAGTATGACATCATGAGTTTTTACAGCCTCCATGTTTGAGAGAGTGTGCATTTCTGTCACCTGTGCCACTCCCAGGGAATTATCTTCCAATGACTCAGCATTAGCCTTAGTTAAGTATTGGTGCGTGTGTATTATTATTATTGCTATATTGTCTTAACAAAGTAGATTAAAATGGAACAGCATCTAAGACATGCTCTAGAGATCGGAGAAGTTGTTTTTTTGTTTTGTTTTGTTTTTGAGATGGAATCTTGCTCTGTCGCCCAGACTAGAGTGTGGTGGCACGATCTCAGGTCACTGCAACCTCCGCCTCCCGGGTTCAAGTGATTCTCCTGCCTCAGCCTCCCAAATAGCTGGGATTACAGGCACACATCACCATGCCCAGCTAATATTTTATATTTTTAGTAGAGACGGGGTTTCACCATGATGGTCAAGCTGGTTTTGAACTCCTGACCTCAAGTGATCCACCTGCCTCAGCCTTCCAAAGTGCTAGGATTACAGGAGTGAGCCACCATGCCCAGCCAAAGTTGTTTTTTTTTTTTTAATTATCATCTGAACCTGACCTGGGATCAGAGAAGCTCTGACTTGCTGTAGGACAAAAATATGAATATATTGTATTTGGTTGTACCCCAGTTATACATGGAGGATTGGTTCCAGGACTGCCTGAATATACCCAAATTGCACATACTCAAGTCCCACAGTTGGCCCCATGGAACTTGCAAACGTGAAAACTTGGGCCTCTGAATACAAAGGATTCACATCTCTCAAATACTGTATTTTCAGTCTGCGTTGGTTGAAAACCAGATATAAGTGGATGAGTACTGTTCCAATATGTATTGTTTTAGAGTCAACTATATATGTTTTTTGTCGTTGATGAAGTAAAATTGTGAATTGTCCATCGAAATTTCTATAAAAACTGGTAAATATATTCTATAGTATATTTAAGAAATTAATGTTAGTTAAGAGTTAAGTCCTCTGCCGGGTGCGGTGGCTCACGCCTGTAATCCCAGCACTTTGGGAGGCCGAGATGGGCTGATCACGAGGTCAGGAGATCGAGACCATCCTGGCTAACACGGTGAAACCCTGTCTCTACTAAAAATACAAAAAATTAGCTGGGTGCGGTGGCGGGCGCCTGTAGTTCCAGCTGCACGGGAGGCTGAGGCAGGAGAATGGCGTGAACCCGGGAGGCGGAGCTTGCAGTGAGCCGAGATTGCGCCACTGCACTCCAGCCTGGGCGACAAAGTGAGACTTCGTCTCAAAAAAAAAAAAAAAAAAAGAGTTAAGTCCTTTACAACACTAATTTAATAGTCCTGAAAGACATTTTCTTTTCATCATCTAAAGATACTATCTTCATATCTCTTTTAAAAAAAGAAACAAGATAAACATGTAAATTAAATTGTTAGTGAAAAGTAAACAATACTGAGGAAATATTTCATACATTTACAGCCTACAATAACTGTATTTTTGAAAAGTTGGGCTATTCCAAAAGAGTACTCTTTCAGGGTAGTTTGGCAATAAAGCTTGGGCTAAGTGAAAAATATTCCCTACTCATCTAAGTTTGAGTTGTCTTATTGAGAGTTGCATATTTTTACCTAAAGAAAGAAATTGTGGCTTTGCCTTTTATATATATTTTGCTAGCCTTTACCATTTAAGCCTCTTCAATTTCTAAATGACATTTTCATAAATAAAAAAACTACTTTTATAACATTTAAAATACACACTATATTATAGTTTCTTAACTATGTTTATTTTAAGGAAGAAGAAGTTTCTCCACAACTGTTTACTTTCCACGAAGCTGTCTCACAAATGGTAGAAATGGAAGAACAAGTTGTAGAAGATCACAGGGCAGTGTTCCAGGTAAAATAAGACAGGGCCTTCCATGAAAATGTTTATTGAGATAAATTAAGAATTTTTCATAGTTCCATAAATGTCACACTATTCTTTCAAAAATACTTGTTTATACGTATATGTATATTTGTAGGGCATATGACATGGCAAATTTTTAATACAGTGAATGATGGCTACAAATAACATTTCTTTGCACCATGCTGAAACGTTCTGCTTTATTTACCTCCCATCCCTCTTACTGGTTTTTGTCGTTTGTCCATTTTTAGGGAAGAGTGTCACTTCTGCCCACCAGTACTTCCTTCTAAATATTAGGCCAATGTATTCGATAGCAGTTAAGAAAAACTCTTTTAAAAGGTTTTGGAGCAGTTGAGGAAGTATCAGTTGTTGCAGAAAAGGTAGACTACTTCAGGAGATGGAGAGTTACCGCTCTGAGCGGTCAGTGGCAAGTTGAGGGAAGGATGTTATGTCACCACCTGTAGCAGTAACTCCTTAGGCATTCATCCCATTATGCATTCAACCTGTTAAAAGTATTTACTATGTGATACTCTACTCCCCTTTTTTTAAACAAGAAAATGTCCTATCATGGTGATATTTGAGGGAGTGAACATATCATTTGGACATCTTGATGAAGACTATACAATTGACTTGCCTTAACTGCCGCCCCCACCTTCCTATAATACTATGAACACTTCTTGAGAAAAAATACCAGCAACTGTCTCCCTTATTGACCTGTATTCCTTCTTTGATGTTGAAGAAATCTTTGTCATTAAACAAAGGAACTTCAGCTGTAGGCCATTCAAGAACCTGGAAAAAGGGCTCAAAATGACAGAGAATACTTTATGTCAGATTAGGATACATGTTCATTAAAACTATTAGAGTTTGGCCAGGCACAGTGGCTCATGCCTGTAATACCAGCACTGTGGGAGGCTGAGGAGGGTGGATCACTTGAGCCCAGGAATTCAAGACTAGCCTGGGCAGCAACATGGTGAAACCCTGTCTCTACAAAAAATACAAAAATTAGCTGGGTGTGGTATAGCGTGCCTGTAGTCCCAGCTACTCGGGAGGCTAAGGTAGAATTCCTTGAGCATGGGAGGTAGAGGTTGCAGTGAGCTGAGATCACACCACTGCACTCCAGCCTGGGCAACAGAGTGAGAAAAAAAAAAAAAAAATTCTGGAGTTTTAGTCAAACTCTTATTGAGACTCTCTTTACAAGCCCAGGTGTTTAAGAAGAGAACAGATGCTAATAATTTAAGAAAATTGCACACCCGTAATCCCAGCACTTTGGGAGGCCAGGGTGGGTGGATTGCTTGAGCCCAGGAGTTAGAGACGAGCCTAGGCAACATGGCAAAACCCCATCTCTATTTAAAAACACAAAGAAAAGAAAATTGTCATCTGTGCCATTTTGGAACAAGGTATCATGTAAAGACCATCATTTCCCACTCTGCCATTTTTTAAATAAAGTCTCACAGCTGTTTTTTGGTAAAATTGGGTGTTCTGACTTTCAACCCTGTATTTTTACAATTCTCTATATCGTATAATTAAAAAAAAATTCTCTGTATCATTCCTCTGTATTATGATCTGCCATTTCGCCAAAAAAAAAAGTTTTGTTAAACCAAAATTAAGTGTATAGCTGAAGGAAAAGGAAAGAAAAATTAGATTGTATGACTGGGCACGGTGCCTCATGCCTGTAATCCCAGCACTTTGGGAGGCCAAGGCTGGCAGATCATCTGAGGTTGCGAGTTCAAGACCAGCCTGACCAACATGCAGAAACCCTGTCTCTACTAAAAATACAGAATTAGCCGGGCATGGTGGCACATGCCTGTCATCCCAGCTACTCAGGAGGCTGAGGCAGGATAATAGTTTGAACCCAGGAGGCGGAGGTTGCAGTGAGCCGAGATCGCACCATTGCACTCCAGCCTGAGCAACAAAAGTGAAACTCAAAGAAAAAAAAGAAAAAAGGAAAATTGGAGTATATTTGTGTTTTCTAAAAGTCAATTGATGTTTAGAAAATTGAGATTGTATGCATCCTAAAAGCAAATCCACTATAAGAGCTTTTATGTCCAAATAGCTCTTTAATTCAGAATGATCTGGTCTTGTTTTGTTCTTTGTTTTGAGACAGTCTCGCTCTGTTGCCCAGGCTAGAGTGCAGTTGCGCAATCTCGGCTCACTGTAACCTCTGCCTCCTGGGTTCAAGCTATTTTCCTGCCTCAGCCTCCCAGGTAACTGGGATTACAGACATGTACCATCGTGCCTGTAATTTTTTTGTATTTTTACCTGGCTAATTTTTTGTATTTTTAGAAGAGACAGGGTTTCACCATGTTGGCCAGGCTGATCTTGAACTCCTGACCTCAAAGTGATCCACCTGCCTCAGCCTCCTAAAGTGCTGGGATTACAGGCGTGAGCCACCATGCACAGCTGGAATTTGTTATTACCTCTTGGTGCAACCACTGTAAGTCTGTAATTGGATATGTTAATTTGTCAGGTTATAGGCTACCATAGCCCCCATCAAAGTGCTCAGTAGCTTTATTATGCACATTCTTCCCCTGTTTTAGGGACAGCTGTTAAGGTATTGAGACTTATTCTCCTCTTTAATATTGATGTATTTGATGCATTCTCTCCCCAAAATTCCCATCCAGAGTAAAAGTAGAGAAGTGAAATGATCTTGTTCAGCCCATCTTTCATGTGTTTGTGTTAGATTTTGAGGACATACAGTTGACCCTTGAAAACTGCAGGGGGTTAAAGACACTGACCCCCAGCACATTGGAAATATATATATATCTTTTGAGCTCCCCTAAAACCTATTAATAGCCTATTGACCAGAAGCCTTACCAATAACATAAAAGTCTATGAGTACATATTTTATGTTACATATGTTATATAAGGTATTCTTACCACAAAGTAAGCTAGAGAAAATAGTATTAAGAAAATCTTAAGGGAGAATTATCATAAAGGTCTTCATCCTCATCATCTTCATATTGAGTAGGCTGAGGAGGAAGAGGCGGGCTGGACCTGGTGTCTCAGGGGTGGCAAAAGTGGAGGAAGTGGAAGGGATAGCAGGAGAGGCAGGCACACTCAGTGTAACTTACATTGAAAAAAATCCACATAAGTGGACCCACACAGTTGAAACCCAGGTTGTTCCATGTACTCTGGAACTGTATTTCTTAATTATACTGTCTGTGAATAAAGATGTTTTATGTCTATTGACATTTTAGAGAATACTATCTTAAGTATGTTTGATTATATTTAACAGAATTGTAATTTGGTTTCTGTTTTACAAAGAGGCTTATTGGATTATCGAATTTTTGTCCTTGTAGGAATCCATTCGGTGGTTAGAAGATGAAAAGGCTCTCTTAGAGATGACTGAAGAAGTAGACTATGATGTCGATTCATATGCCACACAACTAGAAGCTATTCTTGAGCAAAAAATAGACATTTTAACTGAGCTGCGGGGTAATTCTTTTTCCATTTTAATGTTTGAAATCTGATTGGTATTGGTATGTATATTAGTGAGAGGGTTTCATATTGCAAGAGGACGTACGAAGTAAAAATTGTGGGCACTGTTTAGCACCTATTTTCCGAGAGGTAATAAAGACAGCTAACCATTGTGGTTTTTCTAAAAGTCATGGTATACATTTCAAGTTTTCTTTCATATTTTAAGAAGACAGTCAAAGAGAGAAAATGTGTTTTTAACAAATTTATAATTTTTTGTACCTATTCAGATCTTTAGTTTGGTAGGCTGATGCTTATGAGAATTATCTTCTTTCTGTGCTTTTTTTCGGGGCTCATTCTGTTGCCCAGGCTGGAGCACAGTGGCGTGATCATGGCTTACTGCACCCTCAACCTTCTGTGCTCAAGCAGTCCTGCCACCTCAGTCTCCTGAGTAGCTGGGACTACAGGTGCGAGCCATCACACCCAGCTAATTTCTAATTTTTTGTAGAGGTGGGGTCTTGCTTTGTTGGCCAGGCTGGCCTCAAACTCCTGGGCTCAAGCAGTCCTCCTGCCTTGGCCTCTCAAAATGCTGGGATTACAGGCATGAGCCACCACACTTGGCCTCTGCCATTTTTTTTTAAACGAAGGAGGTGTAAAGATGACTACCCTCTGTACCTTACTCATGAAGGGAAGCATGTGCCTTACCTACTAAACCGTATCTTTCTGGTTTTTTAGTTAGCTTATCTGTGTAGCTTCAGCTATGCATTTCTTTGTTAATTTCTTAGGCATCTGTACACCATTGGCTGTTTATGTGTGAGTGAGTGAGCATCTATATGTGTGTGTACATGCAATCCAACATATACCAGAATGAAATTCCTAGTTTGGGGCAATACATAAGCTGCTTATTTTTTTAAGGAGGCCCTCTGTGAAGTTGATTGGTTGTGTTGAAGGGTTATTTTTCTTTCAAATTAATTCGTTTATTTAAATTTGCATCCCAGCCTGGGCAACATAGAGATCCTGTCTCTAAAAAATAATTTAAAAATTAGCCAGGCATGGTGGTGCCTGCCTGTAGTCCCAGCTACTTGGGAGGCTGAAGTGGCAGGATCACTTGATCCCAGGAGTTTGAGGCTACAGTGAGCTAGGATCGTGCCTCTGCACTCTAGTTTGGGCAACACAGAGAGATCCTGTCTCAAAAAATTTAAAGAGTTGACAGATAAAAATGTATGTATTAGGTACAACATGATGTTTTGAAGTATATACAGGTTGAGTATCCCTTATGTGAAAAGCTTGGAAAAAAAAGTGTTTAGGATTTCAGATTTTTGAATATTTGCATTATACCAAAAGTTTGGGATTTTGGAACACTTTAGGTTTCAGATTTTTTTTTTTTTTTTTTTGAGATGGAGTTTTGCTCTTGTCTCCCAAGGCTGGAGTAAAATGGCACAATCTCGGCTCACTGCAACCTCCACCTCCCACGTTGAAGCAATTCAGCCTCCCGGGTAGCTGGGATTACAGGCACGCACCACCACGCCCAGCTAACTTCTGTATCTAGATGGGGTTTCACCATGTCAGCCAGGCTGGTCTGGAACTTCTCACCTCAGGTGATCCACCTGTCTTGGCCTCCCAAAGTGCTGGGATTACAGGCATGAGCCTGGCTTTTTTTATTTTTTTATTTTTTTGAGGTGGCGTCTCGCTTTGTTGCCCAGTGGAGTGCAGTGGTAATCTCAGCTCACTGTGACCTCCGCCTCTTGGGTTCAAACAATTCTTCTGCCTCAGGCTCCTGAGTAGCTGGGATTATAGGCGTGTGCCACTGTACCCGGCTAATTTTTGTATTTTTAGTAGAGACAGGGTTTCACCATGTTGGCCAGACTAGTCTCGAACCCCTGACCTCACGTGATGCACCCGCCTCAGCCTCTCTAAAAAGTGCTGAGATTACAGGCGTGAGCCACCATGCCCAGCCAGATTTTTGGATTTGAGATGTTCAACACATATATGTTGCTGACTGGTTATGAAGTTGGTTATTTGAAATCATATTCTGTAAAGTCAGCAGTGACTGCTGAACTAAAATTTTCATGTTTCTCATATTGTTCATATTTGACCCTTTATTTAAATTGTTTTGATCATTTTTCTAATCTGCAATAATTCACAATCAGCTTCTGTATCCATTTTATTCAGAAGACAGATCATAATGCACTCTGGTATTTTTTCTTTGTAGCATTCAACTTAATTGACTTCCTTTCCTTTTCTCAAATTTCATGTATATCAAGCATATCCATAACTTTTAAGAAATTACTATATAGATATATTACATTATTCAGTCCTTAGAATTTTTTTTTAACCATCCAGAGATAAATTTGAGATTCGTAAGAACAATTTGGGCTGGGCACCTGTAATCCCAGCACTTTGGGAGGCCGAGGCAGGTAGATCACCTGAGGTCAGGAGTTCATGACTAGCCTGGTGAACTGGTGAAATCCCGTCTCTACTGAAAATACAAAAATTAGCCAGGCATAGTGGTACACGCCTGTAGTCCCAGCTACTCAGGAGGCTGAGGCAGGAGAATTGCTTGAACCCGGGGGGCGGAGGTTGCAGTGAGCCAGGATCGCGCCACTGCACTCCAGCCTGGGTGACAGAGCGAGACTCCATCTCAGAAAAAAAAAAGAACAGTAACAGTTTGAGAGCACCAAATCCAGAAGTCCTTAAATTCATTTCAAAATTTCAGAAAAGTTAACTTTTCAAAACATCACTGTACTTCCAAAAAGGGGAGGAAAATTGAGATTCCAACTTTATTTTCTTCTGAAGTCTACAGAGTAGGGTTTTGTAACCTTGGCACTACTAACATTTGGGGCTAGGCAGTTCTTTGTTGAGGAGTGTTATCCTGTGCCTTGTACAATATTTACCAGCATCGTTGGTCTCTGTCCACCACATGGCAGTAGCACCACACCAGTTGGGATAACTGTAAATGTCTCTCGACATTACCAAATGCCTGCTGGGGGCCAAAAATCACATCCAGTTGAGAGCCACTGTTATTGAAAGATGTCTCATCTTAGCTGCATGTAATTTATCTGACAATTTACTGACCTATTTGTAGTTCTTACATGACTCTAGATCAGTAGATGACCGGAAAGAATGTGTAAAAGCAAGAAATGTATTGTTTTGTCATCACCCCTTCACAATCCCCCTTCGTCACAATGAGGACAAAATGTAAATTTCTAAAAATTCAAGTATATTTTAAATTTTCATAACTTAAAAAAGGTAAAATGGGGGGCCAGGCACGGTGGCTCATGTCTATAATCCCAGCACTTTGAGAGGCCAAGGCGGGCGGATCACCTGAGGTTGGGAGTTCGAGACCAGCCTGGCCAACATGGTAAAACCCCGTCTCTACTAAAAATACAAAAATTAGTTGGACGTGGTGGTGCACACCTGTAATCCCAGCTATTTGGGAAGCTGAGGCAGAAGAATTGCTTGAACCCATGAGGTGGAGGTTGCAGTAAGCCTAGATTGCGCCACTGTACTCAAGCCTGGGCAACAGAGTGAGACTCCATCTCAAAAAAAAAAAAAGGTAGACTATGTATTTTACACATGTAAAACCTGCCTGTGCTCCAGAAGGAGTTCTAATAAACTAAAACAAAGAACTGTAAATGTGCCAAACAGAACAGAAAGCTATTGAAAGATATAGAAAAATAGGTATTTCTGGAAATCTGTAACAAAAAACTTTGTAATAGTTCAGCACTGTATTTAGTTCTGAGTTTCTAGACAACAAAAACAAAAGGAAAAATACTGAGTAACTGTTAGGAAATAACACAGCTGACTTGATCGAACCCATAAAGTTGTAAACTCTTACTGCATGCAATACAATACTTATTCCCTCTTTCTTTTCTTTTTCCAAGACAAAGTGAAATCTTTCCGTGCAGCTCTACAAGAAGAGGAACAAGCCAGCAAGCAAATCAACCCTAAGAGACCCCGTGCCCTTTAAACCGGCATTTGCTGCTAAAGGATTCCCAGAACCCTCACTACTGTAACATACAACGGTTCAGCTGTAAGGGCCATTTGAAAGTTTGGAATTTTAAGTGTCTGTGGAAAATGTTTTGTCCTTCACCTGAATTACATTTCAATTTTGTGAAACACTCTTGTCTACAAAATGCTTCTAGTCCAGGAGGCACAACCAAGAATTGGGATTAATGAAGCATTTTGTTTCATTTACGCAAATAGTGATTTACTTTTGGAGATCCTTGTCAGTTTTATTTTCTATTTGATGAAGTAAGACTGTGGACTCGATCCAGAGCCAGATAGTAGGGGGAAGCCACAGCATTTCCTTTTAACTCAGTTCAATTTTTGTAGTGAGACTGAGCAGTTTTAAATCCTTTGCGTGCATGCATACCTCATCAGTGATTGTACATACCTTGCCCACTCCTAGAGACAGCTGTGCTCACCTTTTCCTGCTTTGTGCCTTGATTAAGGCTACTGACCCTAAATTTCTGAAGCACAGCCAAGAAAAATTACATTCCTTATTTGTCATTGTAAATTACCTTTGTGTGTACATTTTTACTGTATTTGAGACATTTTTTGTGTGTGACTAGTTAATTTTGCAGGATGTGCCATATCATTGAACGGAACTAAAGTCTGTGACAGTGGATATAGCTGCTGGACCATTCCATCTTATATGTAAAGAAATCTGGAATTATGATTTTAAAACCATATAACGTGATTATAATTTTTCTCAGCATTTTCTTTGTAAAGAACTAAAATATAAACTAGTTGGTGTATAATAAAAAGTAATGAAATTCTGAGAAGAGTTTTATCTTAGGAAAATACATATATATGCAGTGTGTGTGCCAGTGTGGTATTAACAAGACTAAAATAGTGCAATTTGATCCTTACCAATATCATTACTTAATTTGAAGTGTTCATTACCACCCCAAAATACACCTTTTCTATGTACTGTTAAAGGAAATTGGCTTCTGATGCATGAACATTTACATGTACATTGAAAGTAGTCCATAATAGAAGTTAGTTTAAGCCAAGTGTAGACAGTACATTACTCCCTTGAAAAAGAATTAAGCTGAAAGAGTTGACTTTGCCTTAAAAGGCAGATCTAACCCAAGCTCCATCCAGTACCAAATGTGAAACTTCGTTGTTATTTGGTGAGAATCATCAAATTCTCACTAATACATTGGTGTAGGGCATGCTACTTTTTAAACAGCAGCACTTATTTTTACAGATTGCTACTCCAAGGAAGAAAACTGGCCACTTTTCATGTAAATATTTTGTTCAAAGATTTGTATATCTCTCTAGGAGTTTTCCCTCAGTTCCCAGGATGGGGTCCAGGAGTAGATTAACAGCTAAAAATCTCCCAAGGATATCTTGTTTTGATTTATTTACTCCAGGGAACTACCAGCTCCTTCATAGGAGCCAAAGGGGAGCTATGAATAGAGAGTCACATGAGCCAGATTCTTTACTTTACTGTTCATAAAACCCAGAGAGTAGTTGTGAAAGATCCTAATACAAGTGTGAAAAGCTCTGTAAACATGAAATCTAAAACAAATGTAGATTTTCACAATATGCTTATTAATAAATGAAGTCTATGGAATAAGTTTTAGAGAGAATTTACTTCAATCACCTTTGTTTTGGAAGGGACTCAGGTTTTCTTGCAGCTGTAAGATATATTCTATTTGTGTTTATTTCAAAGGGAAGAGGAAGGATGGAGAACTGTTACAATTGACCTTGCAGAGGATATTTTAAAAAAGGTAGTTTTTGAGATTAACCAACTTTCAAAGGGCAATAAAGACGTGAATTTGCTCATTTAAAGCACAACAGATTAGCTTCAAATTTATTATTTGCATTGGATGGGTACTGTCTTTGGAAAGTCTCCTTATAGACAAATATGCTGCCTTATACTATGATGGCTTCATTCTGATCAGGTATTTTAAAAATTAGTACCAGAAAAGATACTGGAGGTAGTATAATACAGTCCTTCAGCTTTACAGATAGTGAAAACTGAAGGCCAGAAAAGGAACTAAAACTCAGAAGTTCATAGGGGTAGAGGGAAATAACCCGAGAAAGCCAAGTTAAATCTTAAAATTTTGACTATAAGGATAGAGATGATACAAGTGAACTTCGTAAAAGAGTTTTGTGAAATTAAACAAAAAATCTACCCTTATGTATATTTCATATTTGTTTAACAAAAGCAGCTTGACGCTTTTGTTCTGGATTACACATCAAGAACAAGCATTATTTTAATTATGTAGTAACATTTACTATATGACTTTGAAGCCAGATTTCAAATCTGGCTTTGTTAAATTAATTGGAAACACTCCTTCTATTAATTTAGGTATTAAAAAAAAGCCAAATATCAATAAAGATATTTTTATTAATTTTTTATAGAAACAAAATAGCTACTAAAACTATTATAGTATATTAACAGCACTTAGTATTATATTGATTTAAACATAGTAGCTAATAAAACTTGTTTATGACATCTATTGAAATTCTCAATCTGACAGTTTTAAAATAGCTTAAAACTAAGCACCAGGTATATGAAAAAAGTACTGGAAATTTTAATTGTCCAGAAATCACAGGAATACTGGGAACCTGTAGTTATGGGAAATGGCTGTTTTTCTGAAGTTGAAAGCAAATATAAAACTATAAAACCAGTTTCAATTACTAAACCCTTTGAAATTTTGCTATGCCTATAGTTATCTACCTAAGAACCATAAAAAAAGATAATTTTATTGTTAACTTCATTCCAGTTTAGCTTCCTCATTTTACATGTAGGGAGTCATGCCCTTTAATATGCCTGGCACTGCTCGGTGGCAGTAGCAGACTTGGGCTTACCCAGAACCCTAAGTCTCTGATGCTATAGGATAGCGAAAGAGGTAGGCAATCATAACAGACAGTGTACAGGATAAATAGGGAAGAGAATGAGAGAACCAAAATAAAAATACTTTAAAAAACAATGATTTTACTGTACATGTGAATAACAAGAAATGGTACAGGGAATGTGAATAACATGAAATGGTATGGGGAATGTGTGACTAGTGAAGCATATTTTAACTGTTTTACTACTGGAGGAACAGAGCTAAAGGCCTAAAGAAGGCCTCACAGTATATAACAGTAAATAGAAGAGTAACATCTTTATACAATAAACTGTTAGAAATAATAAGTTTAAGTGTAAAGTTGTGCGTCTCTGCGGCTCCTGAACTTGAAGATTATTGTGAATAGATTGGACCAGCTCTATACATTAAAAACTTGGATACTTAGAACTTTCCAACTTAAAAATTCAGAATCATAAATGGTGACAACAGTAGTAGTATCGAACCAAAAACAGTCAAGTAAATTATGTCTCTAAAGCAAAAGCATTATCTTCTCAAATACAAAAAATACAAACTTCATTTCTTTTCTTGACCTTGAAAAATTCTGTGTTCCAAACACCTAGGAAAAATGAATACCTTCTGCGTTGAATCCATGTAGCAATCTGAAAAAAGAAATCAAAATGGAATGGTACTGAAATGCTAATTTGTAGCACATAATGGTATATAGTTCTATACCATTAATTTTAAAACATGAATACAGCATGCTGACAGAGCCCACCCACTCCTAATACTAGTTATTAAAGAAACGATACTGGCTGGGCGCAGTGGCTCACACCTGTAATCCCAGCACTTTAGGAGGCTGAGGCAGGTGGATTACCTGTGGTCAGGAGTTCAAGAACAGCCTGGCCAACATGGTGAAACCCTGTCTCTACTAAAAATACAAAAATTAGCGAGGCATGGTGGCACATGCCTGTAATCCTCGCTACTCGGGTGGCTGAGGCAGGAGACCTGCCTGAACCCGGGAGGCAGAGGTTGCAGTGAGCTGAGATTGTGCCTTTGCACTCCAGCCTGGGTGTCAGAGCAAGACTCTGTCTCAAAAAAAAAAAAAAAGGAAAAGAAATGCTACTGTCTGACTAAATTTATAAGATGCGTATTGGTTAAACCATGCCATGTTGGTGCCTCTTTCATTATAGCTTTTATGTCGTAATGAATTTGACTAAAATTATCTTAGACTCATTATCCCAGGCCTAAGAACTCACTGGCACTTGTTTCAAGGTAACTGAACAAGAAGCTGTTTGGAATTGGCAGAAGTCAGATGAATAACCAATCTTACATGCCCCTTCTTCCTCTCTTGAGCTGTTATTTATATTCAAATTAAATACACATGATTTCTCCCTGTAGATACCTGTGTACTTAATAGATTCTAGTTAGTAAACTGCACATGCCCAATATCTTTGAGGAAATTTAGTGAAAATGAAGGAAAAGATAAAATATTTCTCTTTAGACCTGAGGTTATTTTTAGGCTGGCCCATAGAAACAGGTCCAGATAAATTTCTAAAAAAGCAAAGTAGATACTTATGAATAGTATTCAATGCCTAGGATTAACATCTAAAAAGACTCAGTAGTACTGCTAGCCAGCCAATAAAATATAAACTCCATTTGTCTTAGTTATATAGAACTGTGTTTCCAGCTTAGAAAAAGTCAAACCAATGACTTTTAGAACAAACTACCCTCATTTTGTATTCAGCCTCTAGAACATGGAAGCTTTAAAAGTGAATTGGCTAAATAGGCAAGAACTTCTGAAAGTTAACATCTTAATGATTAAAAACAGTAAGTACAGGTTAGTAATTACCTGGGTAATTAATTGAAGCCTTATTCTATTTTCATAAGACTTACTTGCTTAATTCAAGCAAAACAAATTTTGGTCTAAATTACCTAGATAATTATGACAGCTTTTTACTTGAGAAGTATAGAACTTGCCTCAGGCTACAAAACTAACTATATTATTACTAAATGGATAACCAGGTAAGATTCTAACTGGCATTATTGTATGCTTAAGATTGATTTAACAACAGCTATTCCCAGTAAGGAAATTTTAAAAATCAGATCTAGTTACAGGTATTATGATTTTTCTACCTTATGGTAGTCCTTATGGACTATTTTGGAGGGATAAGCTATTAAGACTAAGACTATGAATGAGAGTTGGGGAGGGAGCAGGAAGGGAGGAACATGCACACCACATTAACACAAAGGCAATCTTCTGGCTCGGACTGTTCTTTACTACTGTTCTTAAAGAAAACGTTCATTCTGCTGCAGCTAACTAGCCTCCATCTTCTACACCAAATACTATTCCATGCCATGGAAGTGCTATGCAATAACTCTCCCAGGTAGCACCTTATACCGCTTAAAAGCCTTTAAAATCTCTAATCTGAAGGTGTCACAGTAAAGAAATGTAAACACTTAGGAAAACAAAAATGTAATTACCTGATGAAGTCATCTATGTCCATGGAACGGGCCCGTTTGTCACTAAAACCTGTGCTGGTTAGGATTTGCTGTATTTTATCTGCTATGCTGAAATCTTCTGGTATTATCTATCAATATAAGATTCAGAATAAATGAACGACATATCTTTAATGAGGTCACCTTGACTCTTTTTTTTAGTTCAGTAAGTCATAAAATAGTCACCTTTAATATATCTGTTAATAAGACTTTGGAAGGCCTGATTGTTTACATAAGACATGGATCTCTAAGTGGCTGATCTTTATTAACAAAAACTTGGAATACCTTGAATTAGTAATCCTGTCTATATTAGCCATTTTCTTCTTTAAAATTCTGTAATAGTTATTAGTTTCAGACTTCACAAATAATTAAAACTGTAAATTAAATTTTAAAGCAACTGTTACTCCTTTCAAAATAATGCATTTTCTTGCTACAGATTTCACCTTAACCACCTCGTTTTTCTCAAAGAGGTGACCTGCCCAAGCCTTGGGAATATTAAGGATTTTACACTTAATGCACATATTTTATCCAAATATTTTTCTTAATCTAGCTTAATATTTTTCTATTATACTTAGGCAGATTATCTAATAACTTTTTCCCCATAAAAGAGAAAATGCAGATAGTATTGTGATACATTAAACCATATAGGTTCTGAGTCATAAAAAATAAAAAGAAAATTGGTCTTTATCTCTGTCCTGTTTAATTAAACTGGAAGCTAAAAAGTTAGCAAACATCACATTACACACACTGTTACACAAATGATAAGCATGAGGCTCACAACCAGAAATCTGCTATTGAGCCATATGAACTTTATTTCAATTTCTGGGTATTAAACTTAGAAATTAATAACTATATTTGTAACTGCTGTGTGAGCAAAAAACAAGACATGGTCACAATTCAGAGGACAGTAAATTGTACACAGTTATTTTAAGTTTTGCAAGCTACACATATCTACAGCTTTGAGGAACCTGTAACTGCTGAATCTGATTCTTGTTATGGCTAAAAACAACTGTCAGTAGTTAGAGGACAGGGTGGAGTAATCAAAGTTGCTCTTATCTGTTCCACAGGATATACAGCAGCACTGACCTGTCAGAATTCAAGTCGAAATTTTGCTAGTTATGCATTCTATATTGTCTTTTAAGGATCCTATGGAATGTACAAAATAATCTCATGCTAGATCAACAAGAATAAAAATGGACATTTTAAAAGAAAACAAATCAATGAAACTGCAGAACATTTTCTACTTACAATATTATGGACTGAACAGTGAATTCTGTAGTTTTTTTCCAAGAGTTGTTGCACTGCACTTGATCTGTAGCATAAAGAAGTGATGCCACTGTTGTTATTCCAAAGTCAGAGTAATTTCTTAAACTTTTTTTTTTTTTTTACTAATATATAAGCCATTTAAGCAATAATTTCATTTTAGATGAAATTAAATCTATGTTCTGTATGGTACAATTAAGGAATTTTAAAAGTTGTTGAATATTTAAACTTATGCAGCAAACACTAATTATATTTAAAGTGCAAAATCCTGATAAATACCTCTTAAATTCTTAGAGAAGTTCTAGACCCTCCACAAAACATCCCCTAAAAAAAAATCTCCAAGTCCTGTAAAACTGTGTCTCACCTCTCTTTTACCCTTGAACCCCAAATTGATGAGTTGCATTTTCCCAAGTTAATAAGATGACACATAACCTTCACAAGTGTCGAAGGGGTCCATCATTGCCTCATTTTTCCAACAAAAAACTAGAGCAGATGTATGGTCAGAGTTTGGGAGTGTTTTCCTGTTTTGCCAAAAAAAACCTGATCTGACTCTCAACTCCAGCAAACTTTCTTCATTAAGTTCTCCTGCCTCCCAAGCTCTAAAGATAGTTAAAAAGATGAAGTTTGTCTGGACCCATATCTTTATGCTTTAGGGTAGCTGCTCAGGAAAAGGACCAAATTCTAGCATAGTATCTGGAGCGCTGGTCCTTTACACATTAGAAATTAGTGTAATACTTACTTAAATGCAGCAGAGAGTGTCTTGTTTTTCCTAACAAAGGTTATCCTTACTAGACCATCCCATTCCTGAAATAGAAGATAGACATTTTCTTCAAATTACAAACTTCTTGTTCTTGTCTATGCCTGCTAGGTATTACCTTGTCCTTTAATATATAAAATTGAAGGGAACTTTCTAAAGTGAAGAAAATGTTCTGTATCTTGATCTGGCTGGCACACAGACGCAAAAGTAAGACATACATTTGATTTTTGTACTTTGGTGCATTTCACTGAATATGTCTTTTCCTCAGAATTTTTTTTGACAAGGGTCAAAGCATGACAATTTTTTTTTAATTTGAAAAAATAAAGCCAGGCACAGTGCTGCATGCCTGTAGTACCAGCTACTCGGGAGGCTGAGGTGGGAGGATCGCTTGCGACCAAAAGTTCAAGTCCAGCCTAGGCAACATAGTGAAACCCCATCTTAAAAAAAGAAAGTGGAGGAAAAACAAAATGGTCCCACTTCTGAACAAAGAACATGGCATTTATTTAAATCTAAGTATCATTTTCAAAAATAAGATTCAAAACAGACATGACTTCAGATACTGCCTGTGCAACACCCCTAAACCTCCTTGAAGGAGTTACTGACAAACCACTCCATTTACCACCAGTTGACCACACACACAATCGTGTTTTTCTCTAATGTGGCTGTAGTAAAGTTTTACATCAAGTGGTCTTCTTTCTTGTTTTTAAATCTCAAAAGCAATTACAATTAAAATATGTTACCCATAATATTACTTTAAAACAACTATTTTCATTTTACCTTGTTTTCCAAGTTTTATTCAATTTTTTTTTTTTTTTGAGACTGGGTCTCACTTTATAACTACCTTGCATCAAATTATTCCATCTACTTCAGCAGAGGGATGTGTCCTAATTAGCATTTTCCTATGTTTGAATATTTAGGTTGATTCAATATTTTTCTGCTGCTATAGACACACATCTTCCAGCCTGGACTTTTTTTCCTTTTATTGATTAAGCCAGTATTTTAACCTCACCTGAAAATTGATGGGTGGTGGTGGATTCTTAGGTTCTATCCTTACAACACTGGATTCCACCTTGGGCGGTGGTCTGAAGTTATTCTTTCCAACCTGTTAATGAAAAAGTATTTAAGTAGTACTCTCAAAGGCAACTTTTATTTAGTAACCAAAGATGCTATCCTCACAGAAGGCACAACTAGATGCTCAAGGATGAGTTAAGGTAGATTATTTCAATAATAAAAATCACTGGCTGGGCACTTTGGCTCACACCTGTAATCCCAGCACTTTGGGAGGCCAAGGCAGATGAATCGTTGAGCCCAGGAGTTCAAGACCAACCTGGGCAACATAGCGAAACTCTGTGTCTATAAAAAGTACCAAAAAATTAGCCAGGCATGGTGACACACAGCTCTAGTCCCAGCTACTCGGGAGACTGAGGTGAGAGGACTGCTTGAGTATGGGAGGCAGAGATCGCAGCGAGCCACTGCACTGCAGCTTAGGTGACAGACTGAGATTCTGTCTCAGAAAAAAAGAGAAAGAAAACAAAATTCACTTACTTTCATTAGATGGTCCACACGTGCCAACAGCTGTGTATTAATTGAGAGTCTGCAGTATAACTTATCTCCGGGTTTTGCAACCAGTCGGAGGGCAAATTCTCTTTGAAACATAAGTATAGCACATCTGAAAAGAAAGCAGAAAGGAATAAGGAAAATGGTCATTGTCAACTATAAATGAATTTTGACTGCAATGAATTTTCTTGGGAGAGAAATAGCAAAGCATTGGCAGCTGATTATAAGGTAGGAGAACGCTTTCAGCCTTTTTTATTGCCACAGAATGAGAGAGCTGGCTTTGTTTTTATAATGGCTGTACTCCTCACTGCAAGATAGCTTGCAAATATAAGCCTTTAAAGACTGGATGAGAAGGTGTTTCAAATCAGCACTAGTCCATCACCTCTTCTATGAAAACAAAGTGAAATACATTGTTTCAGCAGCAGAAATATATTTATGGGGTAGCAGACACCTTTAAGGAAGAGGTGAGGCTGAAAAGGCAGATTGTGATGTTCAATGTCTCCTTGATTTGACAGGTTAAAAGATGTACACTTTTTTTTTTTTTGAGACGGAGTTTCACTCTTGTCACCCAGGGTGGAGTGCAATGGCGTAATCTCGACTCACTACAACCTCCATCTCCTAGGTTCAAGTGATTCTCGTGCCTCAGCCTCCTGAGTAGCTGGGATTACAGGTGCACGCCACCACCCCGGTCGATTTTTCTATTTTTAGTACAGACAGTGTTTCACCATGTTGGCCAGGCTGGTCTGGAACTCCTGACCTCAGGTGATCCGCCCACCTCGGCCTCCCAAAGTGCTGGGATTACAGGCATGAGTCACCATGCCCAGCTAAAAGATGTAGACTTTTTATTCAGCAGGCAATGGGGAGACTTTGTAGGGGTTAATGAACAGAAGAGCATCTTCAAAGCTACACTTTGACATTCAAACTTTTGACAATGAGTCACACTAAAAGATACATTTGGCATTGCAAGCCAAGCCACAAATGTCTGCATGTGTATGTGTTTATATTGTATTTCAAAACAAAAATTTCACAGAACTATAATCACCTGGACTACATGCAGTGCCCTCTGATATATTCCATTCCATGTCATTAAAAAAAAAGATGGTCATGACTCATTAATTTTATAACCACTAAATAGTTTTTGACTTGCAGTTTGAAAGCCACTAGTATGTAATGTAGAAAGTGACTTCAAAGTTCATGGAAATATTGAGTTAAAAGATAAAAATAAGGCACCTATAATCACAGCACTTTATGAGGCCAAGGCAGACAGATCGCTTGAGCTCAGGACTCCAAGACCAGCCTGGGCAGAACATGGTGAGACCCCGTCTCTAAAAAAATACAAAAATTAGCTAGGCATGCTAGTACACCCCTGTAGTCCCAGCTATTCAAGAGGCTGAGGTAGGAGAATCATTTGAGCCCAGCCTAGGAGAGGCTGAGGTTGCGGTGAGCTGAGATCTCACCACTGCACTCCAGCCTGTCTCAAAAAAAGAAAAAAAAGAAAAAACATGAACTTTACTATTCAACATAAGCTCCATCAAGTTCAAGACACTTTTGTAAGTGATGATACCAGCCTTTTAGTCTGTAGCAAAGAAACTGAGGCTCTGGGGAATTTAACCATGTCACTGCAGTCTTTTTTTTTTTTTTTTTTTTACATTATTAACTGAAGAAAAAAGCATACCCTTTCAAGATTTTTTAAGACCAGGAAACGAAAATAAATCAGAAGGGCCGGGCACCATGGTTCATGCCTGTAATAATCCCAGCATTTGGGGAGGCTGAGGTGGGCAGATCACTTGAGCTCAGGAGTAGGAGACCACCCTGGGCGATATGGCAAGACCTATCGCTAAAAAAAATACAAAAATTAGCTGAGTATGGTGGCACATGCCTGTAATCTCAGCTACTTGGGAGGCTGAAGTGGGAGGAATGCTTGAGCCCAGGAAGTGGAGGCTGCAGTGAGTGCAGATCACACCACTGCTCTCCAGCCTGGGAACCAGAGCAAGACTGTCTCATAAAATAAAAAGTAAGTCAGAAGGGGCCAAATCAGGACTGTAAGGTGGATGCCTAACCATTTCCCATTGAAACTCTCAAAAAATTGCCCTCGTCTGAGGAGAGGAAGGAGTAGAAGTGTTATGGTGGAGGAATCTCTGGGGAAGCTTTCCTGGGAGTTATTCTGCTACGACTTTAGCTAACTTTCTCAAAACACTTTTGTAATAAGCAGATGTTATCATTCTTTGTTCCTAAAGAAAGTCAGCAAGCAAAATGCCCTGAGCATTAAAGAAAAAAAAAAAAAAGTTGCTATGGGCTTTGCTCTTGACTGGTCTGCTTTTGCTTTGACTCGACCCATTCTGCCTCTTGGTAGGCATTATGTTGACTCTGCTTTGTCTTTAGGATCACACTGGTAAAGCCGTATTTCATCTCCGTTACAATTCTTTGAAGAAATGCTTCAGGATCTTGTTTTCTTTTTTGATAATCTCGCTGTTGCCCAGGCTGGAGTGTGGAGTGCAGTGGCACAATCTCGGCATACTACAACCTCCGCCTCCTGAGTTCAAGCGATTCCCCTGCCTCAGCCTCCCGAGTAGCTGGGATTACAGGTGCCCACTACAATGCCCAGCTAATTTTTGTATTTTCAGTAGAGACAGGGTTTCACCATGTTAGCCAGGCTGGTCTCCTGACCTCAAGTGATCTGCCCGCCTCGGCCTCCCAGAGTGCTAGGATTACAGGTGTGAGCCACTCTACCCAGCCATGTTTCAGGATCTTGATCCCAGTTATATAAAATTTCCACTGGAAACTCTGCTTTTATCTGCAGCTGATTTGAGTACAATGTTTTTTGTTTTGTTTTCTCATAAAATATTTCAGAAAAGAGGGTATGACAGTTTGGGTATCCATCAAGTAGAAACTTTAACTTTGATTTTGCAGTCAGAATTGTGTAAGTTGAACCAACTGAGATGTCTGTGGTGTTGGCTATTGTTTGTGCTGTTCAATGTTTTTCTTCATCACTTAGGGAACAAACAAGATGAATGTTTTCCACAAATTTGATGTGGCCAGTCTGCCACTGTAGGCTTCATTTTCAACACTGTCTCATCCCTTCTTAAAACGAGTTATCCATTTGTGAACTGCTGATTTCTTTGGAATATTGTCCACATAAACTTTCTGTAAAGCATCAATGATTTCACCATTCTTCCAACCAGGCTTCACCATAAATTGGATGTTTGTTCTTACTTCAATTTTAGCAGAGTTCATGTTGCTCTGATACAGGCTCTCTTCAAACTGATGTCTTATCCTTCTCAGGGCCTCACACGAGATCCTGTTCACTTAGTACAGAGTTTATTGTGGTGCAGAAACATTTTGAAATCCATGCATAGTTTTTTCATAATACACATTTTCCATGAACTTTCTGAAGACCTCTTATACTAGAGACCAGTTAGCAAACCACTGCAATTGTCTAGACATAAGGTAATAAAAATTCTAACCTAGGCTTAACGGCAGGAAGATTCAAAAATAGGGAAAGGCTGTCTGGTCTCAGAAGCAGGACTTCTAGCATACTGTCCCCAAATAACCTCTCAATTAAAAAGAGAGAAAGACCTCCATACAAATCAACTTTTCTATAAAAATTCTTCAGTAGTTTTTCAACTGACCTGACTCATTTTTGGCTATGTTCACCACCTGAATTGTAAGTCTTTCAAAATTTGGCAGTAACTCTAGTCTTTTGTCACAAACCTGAAAAAAGGTCGATGTAGCAACAGTTTGAAGACAAAAGGCGATGAGATCTGTAAGAGAATTAACTAGTTATTTCCAGGAAACACACATCAGAGAAACACTTAGTATCATGTTTCTGAAAATGTGAGAACATACCTGATAAGGCAAATTTGCCACACAAGTATCAAAGAATGGCAAATCTGTTTTCAACACATCACCCACTAGTACTTGAAGTTTGCTGGCCACAGGCCTGATGAGAAAAGAAGAAATGTAAAAAGACCATTGTTTCATGAGATTGAAATGACTTTAATTCTATTATGTATACTCACGTGCCCTGAACTCTTTTGTGAAGTTCAGCTACCAGCCTTGGGTCAAGTTCACAAGCAACAACCTAATTAAAAAAAAAAAAAATTATTTAGCTTAATTATGGAATATAAATATTTTATTGTTATCCCAACAGGAACTCTTACATGATTTACGTGACAAACTTCTTTTCCCATTTCTACCACCAATATTCCTTCAATTGTACTCGCCTACTTCAAATAACAAACAAAAATGGGCCAGGTACAGTGGCTCATGCCTGTAATCCCAACACTTTGGAAAGCCGAGGCAGGCAGATCACCTGAGGTCAGGAGTTCGAAACCAGCCTGGCTAACAAGGCGAAACCCCATCTCTACTAAAAATGCAAAAATTAGCAGGGCGCAGTGGTGGGTGCCTGTAATCCCAGCTACTCGGGAGGCTGAGGCAGGAGAATTGCTTGAACTTGGGACGTGGAGGTTGCAGTGATTCAAGATCGTGCCATTGCACTCCAGCTTGGGCGACAGAGAGAGACTCCATCTCAAAACAAAAACAAAAACAGAAACAACACAAAAAATTAGCTGGGCCTAGTGGTGGGCACCTGTAATCCCAGCTATTCAGTAGGCTGAGGCAGGAGAATTGCTTGAACCCTGGAGGCAGAGGTTGCCATGAGCCAAGACTGCGCCACTGCACTCCAGCCGGGGCGACAGAATGAGGCTCCATCTCAAATCAAAACAATAAAAAAGCCGGGTGTGAGGCTGAGGTGGGTGGATCACGAGTTTAGGAGATCGAGACCAGCCTGGCCAACATGGTAAAACTCTATCTCTACTAAAAAATTCAAAAATTAGCTGTTGCAGTGAGCCGAGATCGCGCCATAGCACTCCAGCCTGGCGACAGAGCGAGACTCGGTCTCAAAAACAAACGAACGAACGAACAACCACCATCACCCAGAAAAGTAGACAACCAGAGAGTTCTACCCATATAGTCAATAGAATCACGTTTCATTTGTCTCCATCCTTTGTAATTGAACAGATGATGAAAGAAAATATACCACATGTCTGTGCAGTCAGTGTTGTTAGAGAAGAACGTACAATGCGATTGCTCTTACTGTAAGTATGTCACATCTACTGAGATACACAATACATGGCATAGATAACTTCTCAAGTAAATGAAATAGATGTCAAATAAGGCCGAAATTGAAATTTTATTCCAATTTCAGCTGAGGTTTCACTGACTTCTTTTTATTTAAAAAACTTTTTTTAAGAGATGGGGTCTCACTCTGCTGCCCAGGCTGGAGTGGAGTGGGCGCTATCATAGCTCACTGCTGCCTTGAGGTCCTGGGCTCATGGGATCCTCCCACCTCACCTTCCTGTGCAGCTGGGACCACAGGTGTGTACCACATCAGGCTAATTTCCTTTCTTTATTTTTTTTAGAGACGGGTCTCACTATGTTGCCTGGGCTGGTCTCAAAACTCCTGGACTCAAACAATCCCCCTACCTTGGCCTCCCAAAGTGCTGGGATTACAGGCGTGAGCCACCATGCCCAGCCTCTTTTTTATTTTTTATAGAGATTGGGTCTCACTTTGTTGCCCAGGCTAGTCTCAAGCTCGTGGCTTCAAGCAATCTTCCTGCCTCAGCCTCCCAAAGTGCTGGGATTACAGATGTGAGCCACAGCTCCTGGCCCCACTTCTATATAGACTGTCTTTACAGGGTAAACAATGTGCTGCTTATTCTGTTTGGCTCCCAGATGTATCTTTAAAAAAAAAAAAATTCCCTGTTGAAATACTTAAGTGGTTTCTGTTTTCCTGACTGAAATATCTCATATTTTCTTTTTTTTTTTCTTTTTTTTTTGAGCAGAGTCTTACCCTGTCACCAGGCTGGAGTGCAGCGGTGCAATCCTGGCTCACTGCAACCTCTGACTCCTGGGTTCAAGTAGTTCTCCTGCCCCAGCCTCCGGAGTAGCTGGGACTACAGGCACCCGCCACCACACCCAGCTAATTTCTGTATTTTTAGTAGAGATGGGGTTTCACCATGTTGGCCAGGATGGTCTCAATCTCTTGACCTCGTGATCCAACCGCCTCGGCCTCCCAAAGTGCTGGGATTACAGGCGTGAGCCACCGCACCCGACCGAAATATCTCATATTTTCCAAGACAAAATTTCCAACAAGGGATCAGGAGTTACTACTAAAATAATAGCAATTAATTAAAACATATTCAGATTGAAAACCAACTGAGCTTGCTAACATAGTCATTTGTGATACCAAACATTAAATCCCCTTTTTACCTTTTTTGCCTTTTCTAACAACTTTACAGTCATGTTGCCAGTTCCAGGTCCAACTTCTAGCACTACATCAGTTGGTCTTAAGGCAGCCTAAAAGCAAGCACGAACACTTTAGCTCTTCTGGCACATCAGAACACAGAAGTTAATTTACACTTGACCATCTTTACTCACATGTGCTCTGATAAGAACTCTTAATCTGACTCCATTTTTAGATTCTTCATGATCCATGTGGTTAACAAAATTACCTCAATAACATTTGGTGCAAATGAAAATCTAAAACCTCTCCTAACTTGGAGGAATACTGCTCAACTTTAGGAGTCAGAAAAGCAGGAACAGCATTTCTGGGATTGACATTCTGATTTCTATCTAGAAATACTCCAGTCGCCTCTTGTTACCTTCTCTGTTCACATCAACAAGTTCAAATGGGAAAGGACTGTACTTGCTGGACGAGGTTTTTTCAATTCTCAACCCACCTATGATTTCAAGGATGCAGAACAGCAGCAACTGTAAACAAAATTGAATGTCTGCACACAGCTGTAATATTCTAGGGCCACAGCTTTCATCAGATGCTCAAAGGAAACTATGAGCTAAAAAGGTTAAAATAGTACACCAACTTTTTTTTTTTCTCATTTTTCAAATGACACGAAGCCCAACAAGATCCTTTAACTATGTAATGCTCTTTCTACAACTCCAAGATGCTTTCCTTGCTTTTAACCATAAGTGTAATCTGCACCGTGTATATTTCACTTCCTAGCACCCAAACATCCATAACCATAAGAGAACATCAATAACTCAGATAGGAGTAATACTCCAAGCAATTTATATGTGGTACTGGAATACATCAAATAATTTATATGTGGTACTATATGTTTTTCTGGGGAACAAACTTTCTAATGTGTGGTTTAGACATAAATAGATGGAGTACATAAAAACTAAAAGTGATAAAAAAAAAAGTGATTAGAAATAGAAGAATAATTATCTTGAACAAATACAAAGGTCCAGCTATAAAGTAGATAATCCACAAAAAGACACAGAATTGGGAACCAGGAGAAACTCAGACCCACAGAATGAATCTTATTTATGCAGAAGACAGCCCGTGAATCCTAGACAATTATTTGATTCATTCAACAAATATTTACAGAGCATCTAATTTATGGCAGGCAGACTTTCTGCCCTTATGTATTCACAGGAATAAAATTAATAAACCAACAACTCTCTCCCTTTCCTCTTCCATACCCACCTTATCGATAATGCTGTTAATAATGAGAGGATTTTTCAAAATGTGCTGCCCAATTCCCGTATTGAACATGAGTCCTGTAAGAAAACACGAAACAGCCTTAATTTTCCTACTGAGATTAGATATTAGACAGTCCCAGAGAAGAAAGCCGCATGGGTAGGGGGAAGATTTCTGAGCCAACCAGGGCCATGAAATGTCACGCCAGGACTGCCAAACTCTTTTAAGTTCATCCTCCAGCTGTAAAGGACGCCAACGACTGCGCGCAGGGCCTGCGGCCGACTCGGGGACCCACCCCTGCCTTCCGCGCTCACGGGAGCGGGTCCTGACCGGCCTCCGCCGATCAGGTCTCGGTCCGCACCCCAGGCTAGGTCCTGCCGGAAGACCTGACCCGACCCCAGCTTCCTCGCGGGCATCCGCACCTCCAGCGCTCTTCAGCTCCCGGCGCTGCTCCTGCCGCCCGCGGCGGCGGCCAATGGCCCCCGACTTGACCTTCGGCATCTTGGCAGGAAGCGGGCCCACAGGCCCGGGACCTCAAGGAGGACCAAAGTGGGTTAGCGTGAGAAGGCCAACACGTGGGAATCGCCGCTTCGCGCCGCCCGCACCACTCCGGCCCAAGTTCGGGAGGGGCAAAGGTCCGCCCCCTCCCGTACGCTCTGGGCTCCTCCTCCAGAAAGAGGGCGGACCTTGGAGCCCACTGACTGCCGGGAATTGGAGTCACCGAGCGAGGAAAGCCGAACTGCGGGAGCCTACAGATCCCAGAAGACACCGCGCTACAGAGGCTTGCAGTCAGGAGTTGGAGCTCTTGTCCCAACCCGAGCTGGATAAGAAGGTGTTGGTGTGGTGCTCTCGGTGTTGCGAAGGCTGTTTAAGTTATATGATGAGGTTAAGCCTATGGATGTTTTAGAAGGCCAAGTTCTGGGATCGTTGAGGTCCGAAGAAGTATTCACGTGCCTCCCTCCTGTTTTCCTGCAGCTTGTGGGGGTGGGAAACCCGGAATTTGGGGATGAGCTTGCTCTTTTGTGGGAATGCATTTTTTGCTGCTTGCCTTGGGGAAAAGAACTGCAAGAGTGGAATTAACTCTGGTTTCGCTAGGGCTATGGTTGCTTCTATTAGGAATAGAAGAATAATTATCTTGAACAAATACAAAGGTCCAGCTATAAAGTAGATAATTCACAAAAAGACACAGAATTGGGAACCAGGAGAAACTCAGACCCACAGAATGAAGCTTATCGTGCAGAAGACAGCCCGTGAATCCTACAAAATTATTTGATTCATTTAACAAATAATTCAGCAAATTCCTTTTGTGCCTCATCATTCACTCCGTAAACATTTATTGAGCTCCAACTGTGTAGCAAACACTGCTGGGGAGTCTGCGTAAGAAACTTACCTCAAAGTTTATTCTGTTGAGAGAGATGGACAGAAACTCCAAAACGCTGTAAATACGATAACGTATTGGTCATTGTGCTAGGACAGTGTGCCTGACTATAAACTCCGTGAGTACCAGGGCCACAATATCCACATCTGTCTTGCCAGCCAGTGTAATGGCTCTCTTAAATTTTTCTGTGTGTATTCTGTTTCGCTGAAGAAATAGCTTCTTCCTGTCATTACTAAAGCTAACTTTCTTTTGAGCAGTTCATTGTGTGCATTCCCAAACGTTGGTCTTAGGCCCTTCTTTCTTTGATGTAGTTCTAAGTCAGAAAAAAAGTCTCATATACCCTAGTAGCACCTTCAGCTATGTGTTTCATTTCAGTAATCATTGTTATTCCACAAGTCTAAAGAGTCTACACTGTGCTAGGCACTTCCAAATGTTAATAGGGTGGACATGGCCTGGAGAGGTGGCTCATGCCTGTAATCCCAGCACTTTGGGAGGCCAAGGCGGGCGGATCACTTGAGCTGAGAAACTTGAGATCAACCTGGGCAACAGTGTGAGACCCCGTCTCTACAAAAAATACAAACATTAGCCAGGCATGGTGGTGCAGGCCTGTAGTCTCAGCTACACAGGAGGCTGAGGTGGGAGCATCACTTGAGCCCAAGTATTTGTAGTGAGCCAAGATTGCACCAACCTGGGTGATGACAGCATAATAGCCTGTCTAAAAAAAAAAAAAAAAGGATGAACATGACACAAAACGCTGTGTGTGATTTGTTATTGTTGTTGTTTTTTTTGGGGGTGGGGGTTGGTTTTGTTTTTTTGAGACAGTCTCACTCTGTCACCCAGTCTGGAGTGCAGCAGCATGATCTCAGCTCACTGCAACCTCCGCCTGCCGGGCTCAAGCGATCCTCCCACCTCAGCCTCCCAAGTAGCTGAGATGACAGGCATGAACCACCTTGCCCAGTTAATTTTTGTATTTTTTGTAGAAGCAGGGTCTCACTTTGTTCCACAGGCTGATCTCAAACTTCCTAGCTCAAGTGATCTACCCACCTTGGCCTCTAGGTTGCATTTCTTCTGTGAAATAAAAGGATGCATTTCTTCTGTGAAATAAAAGATTGCATTTCTTCTATGAATAAAAGGCAAGTTTTTCTGTAGAGAAGGAGCTGTGGAGGTGGTAGGACAAAGGGCATGAGTGCAGAGAAGGTTTGAAGATCCTGGAGGAAGATTAGAAGGAATTCAAGAAGACATGGCATGTCCTCCAGCTAAATGTGGAGCCCAGTATCTCCAATGTGTACTGCTGTTTAACCACAGCCTGGAGAGAAGAGCAGAGAAGACAAAATGGTTCTTTTGATTCATCAATGAATGACCACTATTGCTCCCTAGAATAACATTGTAGGCCTCTCACATTAAGTTCCTATTTACCTTACTTATTTACTTCCCAATGTCATCAAGTTTCTTTTTCTTTCTTAAACATCTTTATACCTCGGCTTTGTGAGTACTGTTCCCTTTGCATTCTCCACCTTCCCCTGGATAACTTGTTTGCTCTTAAAGACACAACTCATATATATATATATATATATATATATATTTTTTTTTTTTTAAGATAGAGCCTCACTCTGTCACCCAGGCTGCAGTGCAGTGCCATGATCTTGGCTCACTGTAACCTCAGCCTCCCAGGTTCAAGCTATTCTCATGCCTCAGCCTTTCAAGTAGCTGGAATTACAGGTGTGTACCACCATGCAGGCTAATTTTTTTTTTTTCTTTTTTTAGTAGAGATGGGTTTTCACCATGTTGCCCAGGCTGGTCTTGAACTGGCCTCAAGTCGTCTGCCCGCCTCTCCCTCCCAAAGTGCAGGGATTACAGGCATGAGTTACCATGCCCAGCTTCAAATATTATGTTTTTTTAAATGGTGGTTCAGGCTGGGTTTCAGTGAGGCAGAGTTGCAGTGAGCCGAGTTCGTGCCACTGCACTCCAGGCTAGGCAACAGAATGAGACTCCATCTAAAACAAAGAAAGAAAGGAGGAGGGAGGGAGGGAGGGAGGGAGGGAAGGAAGGAAGGAAGGAAAGAAGGAAGGAAGGAATCCTGAATACTATAAACAAGATTCTTCTATAAATGTGTTCTTTAGAATGATCTAAATATGTGGCCGGGCACGGTGACTCAAGCCTATAATCTCAGCACTTTGGGAGGCCAAGGTGAGTGGATCATTTGAGGTCAGGAGTTCGAGACCAGCCTGGCCAACATGGTGAAACCCCATCTCTACTAAAAATACAAACATTAGCTGGGCATGGTGGCATGTGCCTGTAATGCCAGCTACTCGGGAGGCTGAGGCAGGAGAATTGCTTGAGCCTGGGAGGCAGAGATTGTGATAAGCTGAGGTTGTGCCACTGCACTCCAGTCTGGGCAACATAGTGAGACCCTGTCTCAAAAACAAAAACAAGGCCGGGCGCGGTGGCTCAAGCCTGTAATCCCAGCACTTTGGGAGGCCGAGGCGGGCGGATCACGAGGTCAGGAGATCGAGACCATCCTGGCTAACACGGTGAAACCCCGTCTCTCCTAAAAATACAAAAAACTAGCTGGGCGCGGTGGCGGGCGCCTGTAGTCCCAGCTACTCGGGAGGCTGAGGCAGGAGAATGGCGTAAACCTGGGAGGCGAGGCGGAGCTTGCAGTGAGCTGAGATCCAGCCACTGCACTCCAGCCTGGGTGACAGAGCAAGACTCCGTCTCAAAAAAAAAAAAAAAACAAAAAAAAAAGCAAAAAAGAATGATCTAAATATTTTTAGATCATCATAAAGACTATGTTAGATTAATAAAATTAATTAAAGAAGATGATTATGGTCTCTGTTTAATACCAGCATAAGTGTAAACCTTGTCAGTGAATATTACATAATCTCAAAAACATTTGTCAGATAAGCGTTTCCATATCATTACCATTGTTAAAAGAGAAACTAAGGCACAGTAAAATCTTAAAGTGTTTATTTGAACAGGCAGTGATTCATGAATCGGTTTGGGACTCTGCTAAAGGGCACCAAAGACAGGCTTTTATAGGGTGAATGTGGAAGTGTGGCAAATAAAATACACTGAGTTGGGTTTTGGTTTGCTTCTGTAGGAACCCAGGGTGCTGGAGCAGCCTCAGTCTAATGGCCTATTAATTATTTTAACACCATAAAATAATGTATATCATGTTGCAAAATAAAACTTTTAGAGGGATTCCAAATACAACAAAAACCAAATTATTAGGGTACATAGAATTCTATTTGTGGGTTAGAGTCTATTTTTATTTTTACTATTTGTTTATTTTTGAGACAGGGTCCTGCTCTGTCTCCCAGGCCGGAGTGCAGTGGCACAATCATGGCTGACTGCAACCTCCCTGTCCAGGACTCAAGCAATCCTCCCACCTCAGCCTCCAGAGTAGCTGAGACCACAGGTTCGCGCTACCATGCCCGGCTAATCTTAGTATTTTTTGTGGAGATGGCGTTTGCCTAGGCTGATCTTGAACTCTTGAGCTTAAGTGATCCTCCCACCTCAGCCTATGAAAGTGCTGAGCTCAGAGGTGTGAGTCACCACACCTGGCTAGAGTCTACTTTCATATTGTATATTTATATTTGGGTACTTTTTATTTTAAACAATAGTATAAATAAAAATATTTTATTCTATGAAGTGGTGCATGCTCATAATCCCAGCTTCATTAAGGAGACTGAGATGGGAGGAACACTTGAGCCCAGGAATTTGAGACGAGCCAGAGCAGAGCAACATAGCCAGAGACCCTGTCTCTAAAAGCAAAAAAAAGAAAAAAGGCCCTTTTCCAAGTTATTACACACTCTTAATAATTAATATTGAAAACTGCTGCAGAAACTTTCACCTTATGAATGCATAAGTGTTTACTAAATCATTCCTATACCATTGTTCTTATAAAAATAGAGCCATACACGTTTTAGTTTATACCTGAAAAATACTTTCAGTACTTTGAAGTGGTTCTCTAGTATAGATTTCCAAGCATGGAATTATTTACTCAAACTGCGTGAACATTTTAGTCTTTGAATATAAATTAACAAATTATTTTCTTTTTTATTTTTTGAGATAGAATCTTGCTCTGTTGCCCAGGCTGGAGCGCAGTGGCACGATCTCTGCTCACTGCAACCTCTGCCTCCCAGGTTCAAGCAATCCTCCTGCCTCAGACCCCTAGTAGCTGGGATTACAGGCACTGCCACCATGCCCGGCTAATTTTTGTATTTTTAGTAGAGGCAGGGTTTCCCCATATTGGCTAGGCTGGTCTCGAACTCCTGACCTCAAGTGATCCACCCACTCATCTTGA